GCAACCACCTCATTTTCCACAAGTAGATTTTTTTTTTTTTTTTTTTTTTTTAATTTTAATGTAATTTATGTTATAAATGCTTAATTTAATATTTGTTATTATTTTCATGAGAAAAGAAACATTCCTTGTAGTTTTGGCGGTTAATGGGTTAATAAGAAGTTTTGCTTTAATTCATAATCTAATAGAGAAATAGCAACATAGATGGGGAATTGTTTTTAATAGAGACTTGTTTATTGCTTTTTATTTTTTTTAATGGGTATTAGTTAGTTGTATATTTTATGAGGGTAATTTAGTTTATGTGGATATATGATTTTCATGTCTTTTTGTTATACATCATAACTGTGACAATATTGAACTATTTTAGCAGAGCAAAATAATTCTTAGTATCGTCTCCCTCCTGTAAGGGGATTTAGACACATGGCAGTGAGTCAGCCAAGTTCGGAACAGATGAAAAGAAAACAGCGAGACACCGGCCATGTGTATCTTGCACGAACCATTTTGAGCTACTTTCGACATACCCATTACTCAAAAGCTGTTAGGCCTACAAACTTACAATTGTGTGTGTTTAATAGAGCTTCCTTGAACACATATATTCCCAAATTTCATTTTCTACTTCTTATAGTTATGGAATTATCAAGTCTGAAAAGTGTCATTTTTATTACTCATTGACTGATAAAAACCTAGACCACTTCTAAATGACGTAGATACTTGAAATTTGGCATCAAGGTGCGTCATTGGGCATCAAAGGAAAAAATCTAAAAACTTCAAAAAACTATATTATTATCAAGGTTAAACCAAATAATACTCATAACGAGCATTTGACAACATCACCAATAGATGACGTTACACCGATTGCCATTTTCCACGCCACTCAGATGCCGATCATCTTTGCCAAAAGTGAAGAATAAAAACTTATTTATAATAGATGAAGTGATAGCACAGACTGTGCTATCATTTCATCTATTATAAATGCCGATTGCAGAACTGGCTCTTTTTTTCATTTTGGTAGTGGGTTCAAGCCTAACTACCACGATATTACAAAAAGAATGTAAACAGTTTTCAAACGATAAAAGCATTGGTGTTCTGCCAGATGCCGGGTGCAAAAAAGGAAAGAAAGGAAAAATAGGAAACGGGAATCTATACTTTAAAATAAAATTTGAACATTTATCTTAACATTATAATACATCTTAGCATTTATAATGTTTAATAATTAAAAATAGCTGTTTAAATTTATTGTTTACATCCCTTTTAAAAATCTAAAACTTCAAAAAACTACATTATTATTGAGGTTAAATGAAATAATACTCATGGGGAATGTCGTCAGTTTAATAATGAAGAGATTGCTAATGAAAAGAAACCAACACAGCGTAAACACGTTTTCACCGTTATGGAAAATATAGAAATTGCTAATAAAAATAAACCAGTGCAATGTAAATGCAAGGAAAAAAAAAATTAAAGGTCATGTATTTGTTTAGGTGCTTTTTCATTTAAGTGTCTAAATAAGAATATAACCTTAACTTTAACTTTTCAAAAATTAATGATATCATAAGAACATAAATCCGAGAAAAGGGCCAAGTTTGGAAGAAATGACATTCAGCATAGTTGATGTCACTAACAAAAGAATTAAGATCTAATGGATGACAAGTTCTATAGCAGTTCCTTTAATTATAGCTATAGGAATGTACCATATTCTTCAATTCATTTAAAAAACAAATTATTACTTTCTTTGATATCAGATTTCTAATTTGGCAAGTTAATTCCTAATTGGAGAAATCATATTTTTTAATGTAATATTGGCAATTAAAATTTGCCAATTTAGAAATACAGTATCAAAGAAAGTAATGATTTGTTTTTTAAATGAATTTAAGAATGTTGTACATTCCTACAACTGTGATTAAAGGAACTGCTATGGAACTTCCCATCCGTTAGATCTCAACTCTTGTCGGTCTGCATCTTGTCGGTGACACCAACTACACCGAATGTCATTTCTCCTGAACTTGGCCCCTTTTTTACATTAATGTTGTTGTTGATAAATAATATGTCAGTTTTAAATTCAATTAAAGGCATTGTGGTTATTTCGTGCATGAGAAACAGCAGTGCAGTTTTTTTTTTTTTTTTTTTTTTTTTTAAGCTTTAAAAAATGTTTTACTTGTAAGATAAAGTACTGAAGCTTAAATCCTGTAGCTAATAATATGAGAATTAATATATGTAGCATATATACAGGATGAGCAATGAATGAGTATTGTTATGAACTTTATAAATATATGGGCAATTTGTAATCATGAAATTGTGTTTTTCAAATAATGTCACAGTTGAGGTAGGATGCTCTGTTAGAAAAATAAGAATACGGGGACAAGTCTGTTTAACATTGAGTAAAATTTGACAAGATGTTAGCAAGCTGGCAGCAATTTTGGCAACTAATTTTTGTTGCCAAACGTCACAACACGTGATGACATTTTGATCTGGTCCCTGTATTACTGTAATAGGTATTGTAATTGAATAACTGTAACTGATTTTAGATGTAACATTCATTCTTTCTACCACTAGGCAGCCGATCCACTGGCTTAGTTAGCATATTGGCCTGGTAGTCCCGCTAATGGAATTAACTTTGTTACAAAAGTTCCTGAATTGCAGGCTTCCCAGTCTTATATTTGGGTAAGGGGGAAGTGAACTGATGTGTTCCAGCTTTTTCAAAAGTCCACATAACACACTTTGGTACGTATTATGCTGAAGATGAGTGCTGGGAGATTTAAAAGAAATTCTGGACGAGTTAATGGTGCTGTGATGGAAGAAGCCTGCAATGCGGATGAGGAGAATAGTTTCAGTTTCACATGTAAAGAGTTATAGATGGATGGTTATAATTTAAGTATTGTTAATAGGCATCCAACAGGAACAATAATTTATCATTGTGGATAGTTAAAATACAGGTATAACTCGGCCATAATCAGCTAAATAGTGCAATAATTATAATTATGAACAATTAACAGAGTGACCGATAGAAAAAGTAAAAACAGTACATTAAATAAGGCAGTATAAACAAATCAAGGTTGGTCGACAGGAAATAATAGGAAATAAGTTTAAAAAGAAAACAGAAAAAGCTAACTTAAAATAGATGCTCTTAGTTGTTGTTTCAGGTTGTTAGTTCAGCATAAGTTCAGAATACTGAGATTTCTTCAGGTTAGATTCCTCTTTAGATGTGGTTTACATTGTGTTGTGTTTAACATTCTTAGTAGTTTGAAGTGTAACTACAGTGAACACCTGTTTGAGTATTTCTGTGGAACATTCCAGAACTCTAAATTTTATAAGCCTATCATCTGACCTGTGTGCATTCAGTCTATTATGAACCTGTATACATGCAATGGTATAAATCCTTTTAATTGAAAGAGTAGAAGAATAGTGAAAAGTATTCAATATTAAAATTTATGATGCATTTTATGTATATATGTAAAATATGCATTGGAAGTATAAATCTTTTCAGATTTATACATTATATAAATATATAGATTATTATATTTTTCTATAAGATTATTATATTTTTTGAAAGTTTTATATAATTTCAGGTTATACATTATAAGTTTTGGTAAAAATTTTTAATTTTGTTATTCTTTATTGATAATAGCAAATATTGCAAATTTTATTTTTTAATTTGTGTTTTTAAAATTATCAAATATTTTCAAAATGCTGAAATTTTGAAATCTTGTAAAGTATACAAAAAGTGCTATAAGTGAAATGTATCACTCAAATTAGAGTAAAATTTGCAATATTTTTCCAAGGCATGTATTAATTTTAAGATAAAATATTGAGCAAATATTCAGTAATGTAATCAGTTATATCAATTTTTAAATTTATCCATAAACATTGATAAAGTTAAAATAAAAAAGAATTTTAAAAAGTTCTTTTTTAATTTAAAAATTAAAATTTAGGAAATTAAAATAAGAAATTATTTTAATTAAAATTTGCAATTTAATGAAAATTTTAAGAAAGAAGGGGGAGAAACTGATAGTCTGCCTTTTTCAGCTTGAAGTAATACAGTGCACAGTCTTTAATTTGGACGTCCATAATCCAGAATGATCTTTAATCTGGACCTCGAAGCTACAAACTTTCTGCGCATGCATAGCGTTTATGAATACACATAATACGTTTACGCATGCGCGTTTAATGTATAAAGGACGGTATAAGCTAGGCTAAAATTATCTAATTATCTATTTCAGTTAAAGTTGCAGATTGCGTTGTTCAGACTGTTAGAGCAATTTTATAAAAACTAAGCTTGAACTTTCGATTATGTCAAAAAGAGTTTCCGATTCTGAAGCTGCCAAAGGATCTACAAAGCGAAAGCATGTTACGATGTTCATCAAACAAAAAGTGGAATTGCTGCAAAAAATGGATAAAGGCATGAAGAAAGTGACAGAGAGATTAGTGAAAATGAAAAAATTTCAATTGACAAGTTAGTCGGGGTTCTCGGCACAGTAATTACAGGACTTGAACAGTGGAACTTTGTAACTGAACAAGAAATTATGTCTGTTTATAGAATTAAGGAGAAAGTATTAGCACATAAAATGAAGCAACTTAAACAACTTACATTGAAAGAAATGTTTAATAAAGTAAACAAATAAATATTAAGCTTTTTTTTTTTTTTTTTTTTGTTGTAAATTTTGATATCCTTTAGATAATAATTGCTCTTTGTTTCATAAATTACGGTTTCATATTTATAATTTTATAATTTCTGCATGCCATATTACCAGATTTAAATTGATGATCTATAATCCAGAAAAACCAATAATCTGGAATCGACGAAGTCCTGCCGAGTCCGGATTAAAGACTTTGTACTGTAGGAGTTGAGATTATAATTCCTCAATGAAACCCCTTTTTAACCTTATTTAAGTATCTTCATGTTTTTATTATTCATTTGAAGAATGCAGTATAGCCACCTGTATATTAAATGCAGCTTGATTTTAACAAGCATCTTATTTTTGATAAATCATTCATTTGTTTTTTTCCAGGAAAATATGAATTTGAAGAAGAATCTAAAGCATTTTTAAAGGAAAATCACATTGAATGCTTCAAAGATTTAAAAATGGGTCTTGGTGCTAAAGATCTGAAGATGGGATTTGGCAACAAGCTATCTGGCAATTTTTTGAAAGAAACTCGAACTATGGGTGCTGTTGAAGCTGCAAAACTTGGGGCAATTTTAAAGCGCAAAGATAGACCTAAAGGAAAGACACCTGTATGTTGGACACGTATTTCTCAGTATAGTCCAATCTATATTTTGATCACTGCTTGTTTAAAAACTTTTTGTTTAAACCATATTTTAATTAATCTTATTAACAATGCTTTAGGAAATGTTGTACATTCTTTTGGAAATGAAGCAGCATTTAAAGTGAATCAATTTATTAATGCATCTGTACATTTTAAGTGTCACATGAAAACTTTATTTGTTGTTGGTAATATTAGAATTCTTTTAATACTCTCTGATTATCTGCATTTCCCTTGAAAAGTTGCAGATTTGTTGCTGAATTTGGAGAGCATTTGAGAAATCATTGACATAATTTTTCACCAAGCTGCAATAGGCAAGAGCCATTTTTAATATGGTGGCATGTTAAGAATTCCATCAGTAGAATTAGCAGTTAGTGAAATTAAAAAACTGTGTTTTTATCGTGGTTTACTGTCTTTACCATGGATATGAGAATTTACTTCCTTTGAATTTGGTCAGTATCAACTTGATATGAATCACTGCACTGTTGTTGATTGGAATAGTTACATAAGGGAAGTCTTTGGCCATCTAGACTGCCATTTAAAATAGTCGGCAATATTTGTAATGCAGTCAAATACCGAAAATCTGCCAACTCCTGAAATCCGCGTTGCTTCTCAAAATATAAACATTCAGTTTTATAGGTTCCAGAAACCGCAACACTGAGTACGAAATATCGAAGAAAAGATACTTACCGAATAATGATGTCATAATTACCAAATAATAATAATTCATAATGGAAATACCAAATTATTGACATAAAAAAAGTTAAAAAAAATAAAAGTTTTTCCCTCTAATCTCTGCATCGAGGTAAAAAAGCAGACGATTCACTCAACTCTTCGTTTTAAGTTTATGATTCACGTTGTTGTATTTTCTGAGCTTTGTTATTTCACGAGATTGTTTAGTGCTGCCTTTTTTTTTATCCTGATATTTTTTAAATAAATTAAGAATATTTTAAATTTCAGCCCTTTTTAATACAATGACAGATAAAAAACGCACTCATGATTTTACTGCTTGCAACGTTCAAAAACACATAGCATTGATGGTAACACAAAAAGTGCAAATTCTGCAAAAGATGGAGGCAGGTGCTACTCCTCAATTTATAGCTGAATGATATGGAAATTGCGACACAATTGTGTATGATATACGGAAAAATAAAAAAAAAGCTGTTGAAATTTTACAGCAACAATGATTCTAACACTGGTTTCTTTGCATGAGGTGAAATCAGCAAACCTCTATTCTGTGTACATATAATACAATGAATAATATAATCAATTTATACAAGTAATAATAATTTAATGCATATAATAAGTTATTGCAATAATGTGTATAATAATTTAATTAAATGTATCTAATACGCTTTATTTATTTTGCACTTTTAGTCTGAATATTATGATTTATCTTTTCTGTCCTGAAATTCTAAAATCTGCACAACCTCTGGTCCCAAACTTTGTGGATTTCTGGACTTCTACTGTATTAAAATGATAATATTATCGAAATTCACGAAAGTCTGTTTTCACATCACAAAATAATGCTGGTCTTCTCCAGTGGGTGTACAGCGGGATTTGCCAAGAAAAAAAAAAAAAAAAAAAAACATTTTTAGTTGCTATGCATAACTGCAAATGTTGTTTTCAGACAGAATGATATACCCAGTCTTATGACTTCATATTAATCTTAGCTTGCTAACCGAGGGTCCCCCCTTCCGCCGCTGATTTCTTTGGGAAGTTGTTTAATTTTGCATTAAAAGTTTCTAATTTTACAGATATCTGTTATATTATTTTTTGCCTTTGAATTTTGCTTCACTTAACCTTATCGTAAATATTTTGGAGATTATTTTTATACTTTGAATTTTTCGCCATATCATCAGCTTTTGGTGATATCTGAATCTGCCCCCAATAACAGAACAGTACCCTTATTCGTATTAACAATTTAGGAAAACATGTTTTATATGATAATAGATGTTTTAAGGCATATATAATTTTTTTAGGTTTTATGATTTGGAAACTGTGTAAAATAAAGACAATTAAACCAAAAATTTTGAGTAACCAATTTATTATTACTTTGTGACATTCTGGAGATAAGATTTATGACTATGTAATACAAATTAATTCTTTAATGAAAGTCTGTGAAACCAGATTAAGGTACCTTAAAAAATATATAGCTTTTTGACTTTCATTATACGTTTTTTTATTCAGATGGTAATGAAATAAAAAAAATGCAAAAATTTGCTATAATTCTAATTGTAACTGTATTCATGAAGTAAATAGTGATAAAACTTCATGATAAAAGCATTCTGTATATCTTTACTGGATTCATTTGCTAATGCTCATGCCAATAAAAATTTTGTTTCTGTGGATCTTTTGAGTTAATCTGCTAACTTTAGCAGATTAAAGCAGTGATTTCAAACATTTTGCAGTTGGCAGCATACTTTGCTGAATATCTGTTATCTTAGGATACAGTGGTTTGGATTTTGAGTAATTAATGTCAATGTTAGGTAATTTTATGCAGCCTTTCGTAAATTGAAATGGATGAATGCCTTCATGATAGAAGCCTTTCTGATTAACCTAAAACTAAAAAAAAAGTATATGTGATAATTATAGCACATTTATGGTTGACAGCTCAAAATATTGGATTAAAGTTTAACCTTTGCTTAAGAACTGTGTCTACTTTCGCTTTATAACGCAGCATGGAAATTTTAATGCAGCACATATTGCTAAATATAATATTTAATGCATGAAATGCTATTAAATGCCAAATGATACAAAATTCTAAAAATTCTTATAATATTAATATTCTTTTTTTCTTTTTCTGGCCTTTGTTGTAAACTGCATTATTAATATTTTCCAGATTGATCAAATAGTGTGCAATATTTGCAACCGTGGAGACGAGGAAGCTAGTATGCTTCTTTGTGACGGATGCGATGACAGTTATCATACTTTCTGCTTAATACCTCCTCTGAATGAAATACCTAAAGGTGACTGGAGATGCCCTCGTTGTGTTGCTCAGGTAATCAATCTGTACAGCATTGTTCTCAAGGCTGGCTTAACCATTTCTCTGCCATTTTGAGTGTAGTAAACTACTATTTTACGTCAGTTCAGAATCTAGCTCTTTGCATTAAAAATTAATAGCTTTATATAAATATGTTATTTCTGCATCTCCTCCAGTATGAAAATACTGTTAAAACAAAAATCTCTAAATTAAAAAAAAAAATAAATAAATAAAATAAAATTAAAAAAAAAATAGTTCTCCAAAATAAAAAAAACTTAGTTAAAGCTTTAAATAGCGCGAGTTAGTCTTATTATGCATTATATTACCTAATTAAATATCTGATATAAATTAAATCCATTTGATATAATTCTGACAATTGTAATTCAACGAGATTTTACTAATATTTTATTAATTAGTATTCTGAATAATATTTGTCTCTGTTAATTGTAAATTGTTATAAAAAATGCATAATTTTTCATTTTAGCAGTGTAATTAGCATGTCAGAATGTACTAAATGTATGTTTTCCATTGATACTTCAGTCTTTTTCAAAATATTTTTTGCTTTGGGAAAAATTTAAAAAATAAATATTCATTTGTAGGAAAGTTTAATTTGGTATCATTGAAAAGGAGAATGGGAATTAAAAGCATAAAAATGTGCATTTCATACCTGAACAGATATAAAAGGTGTAATATTTTGTATTGTAAAGACATTAAATAGCATATTTCTGATAATTTCGAAAGGTTAAAGGGACCTTTGAATAAAAGAAAGGCACAGTTAGGCTAATTGAGTTTTTACATATTAAACTAAGGACCATTTGTCATTCAAATAATTTCTGAATAAATAATTCCAAATAATCTCTTGATTGTCCCACTATAAGACAAAAAAATACAACCCTGGAGTACCAGTTCTTCATTTTGGATTCAATTCCAGTAAATACGTTAGATGCAGGAATTTTCATGCCTTTCCTGTGCATAGCATGAATTTCCATTAGAGAATCCTTCGTGAAAGCAGTTGACAGGTATATGCCTAAGTGCATTTTGTAAAATATGACTTTAGTAAAAATTTTAAGACTTTTATCTTATTAGCTTTTTGTTAGTATTCTGGTCAGTTATTTTAGGAACGTTTTATGATTTGAAGTTTTAGACAGTAATATTTTAGAAGTATATTTTATTAACTGAATCATATGAATATTTAGAAGAGAATGGCAAATATGCTTTCAAGTCTGGTTTACTGAATGTCCTAGAAGAATTTGACTTGCTGTTATCTGATTGTATTTGTAAACAATTAATATTTCTTAAAAAGAATCTTCAGTTAGTAAAATTATGTGAAAAAGTAATTTATATATGGGAATTATACTATAAATCACTGTTATTTGAAAACAATTTTTTAATTCATAATAAGGGCCAATGCATAATAATTTTTTTTCCCTTAAATGGAAATAAATTTTATTTTTATTCTTGGGTACACCAAATATTCTAGTTCATTGTACCTTGAGCAAAATCTTCTATCTTCTCACCCAGAGGTTAACTGCTTTTTGCTTTTTCTCCTTCGTAACAAATGTCCTCTGCATTACTGATTTTTACAGCAGAATGTAGTTATAAGTTATGTAAATTTCTTCTTGTACTGCATATTAGTATTGCAACATTTTAGCTTTATTAGTTTAGAAAAAGTAATTGTTTGAAATATAGCTATAAATTATTAAGAATTATTTAAGAAATTAGTATTTAATAATAAATTATTTTTTAATTGCAGGAAGTATGTAAGCCTCAAGAAGCTTTTGGCTTTGAACAGGCACAACGAGAGTATACATTGCAAGAGTTTGGTATGAAGGCTGATGAATTCAAGAACAGTTATTTTAACATGCCTGTACATGTAAGTTTCAGAAGAAATGAGTAGTAGACTTTTTGGGGGTGGGGGAATAAATTCAAATAATTTATGTACATTTAAATTCCCTAAATAATTGATATTACTACCTTTAGGATTTTTAATTTAATTTAATTTAATTTTTAATGTTAATATTTACAAAAAAATTTTTTACTAGAAACAAGTTAGCTTGACACTCAACTTTACCTACATAAGCGCCCTCTATATAATTTGAAGAACACACTTACTTCTCTTCACAACACTTTTGCAGACCCCAACACTCATATAGTAGGTAAAGTTAGAATTAAAACTTACTATTTACTTGCTTTAAGTATTTTTTTAATAGTATCTAAGTATTTTTCTAAATATGAAATATATTTTTAAATATATATTTGTTTTTAAAAATTGTGAATTAGTTCGTTTTGTTTCTTATTGGTTTATATGGATTAGTATAGTTCTTTTATAGTTTCTTTTTATTGATATGCATATTCGTGTAGGGGAAGTTTCTGTAGACAAGGGTTTCTAAAATACAATGGTTTCTAGATTTTATTATTTTATAAAAAATTAATTTTTTTAAAAATTTAATTTTTTAAGAAAAAGTTTAATTCTTGACTTTACTTGCTTGTTTCTCAAAAGACTTCATTAGTATTTTCCTTTTTGAACTTTAATTCTTAAATGTTAATACTTAAATGTTAATTTCTAAGGGTACCACTTTATTGGAATTACTTTTGGTTTTGACTTTTACCCTTTCCTGCATGAATGATGAAACACGAATTGAATGATTGGAGAGTTAGGTTTGGAGGCAACTTCTCCTTGATAAGTCTGTCTCCTGCCTACTCAACGGTCATTCACATATGCATTTTTTAAAAAATTGTTTAATTTAATTTTAATTTATTAAATTAGTAGATTTATTTTCATGGATAGATTTTGAACTTGATTTGCTTATGCTTCTGAATTTAAATGATATTGTAGATTAGTTCGAGAATTAAATCTTTTACATGTTTGTACCTTTTTTTTTTTTTTTTTAATTATTTTGGCTTTTTTCTTTTTTAGAATTTAAATTTGCTTTTTTACTTTTATACGTATTGTTAAAAATTTAAATTTGTTTAAATTTAAATTTCATTCCTTGCATGCAATGGCGCAAAGAATATTTAATTAAAAATGTATTTAAATTTAATTTTTTAATTAAATTCAATTTATTCTTATGAAATAATTTATGTACATTATATTTTTTTATTTGCATAACTATAATCAGGGTTCGTACGGTCCTTAACAGTCCTTAGGTTTTTCAGAATCGGTTTTTGGTCCTTAAAAGTCCTTAATTGTGGACAAAATTGGCATAATGTTCTTAATTTTAATCATCTGAAATTTCTGTCTATTTTTATGACTGCCATTTTGAGTGTGAATTAGCATTTTGGAGAAATATTTTTGGCAAATCTGTAACAAATATGGTTATTTTTTGAATGGGTTCATGGGTTATAATTAGTTCCTTTTCTGACATAAATGGTGGGTTACTTGAATTTCTGGGCGAGAAGTGGAACATAAATATTTCGATATTATGTCATTTTTTCTAATGAAGAGTTGTGAAAGAACTTTTTGCTTTGGGGGATGTGAATTCTTTTAAACAGCTCTAAATTTGGTGACTTAATCAACATTTTGGTATTTCTAAGATCAGTTTCTATAGAAAATTTTTAATTTGGAGATCTGGGAATTTTTCGACTACTTTTTTTTTTTTTTTAAAACATTATAACATTGGTAAATTTCATTAAAATAATGATAATATATTGAAATTGTATTTAAGAAATAACATTAAAATGAAACACTGTCATACTATAAAGTGACATAACATTCATTTTGGCGATTTATTATACAGTATTTTGAACCTGAAAAATGAACAAGGTAATAAATGCTATCAAAGTGCTGTTTATGAAACAGTTCTTAGCAAAGAAAATAGCTATGTAAAAATAGCTCTACTGCCCAGTGCCTGTCCTAAATTATAAACATTTTGACATTTGTAGGTTTTGTTGCTGTATGGGTCACTAAATTCTAAAAATTCTGCTACACAGGCTCTGTAACCGATCCTTACCATGTATCATTTCATATTTATTTTGAATGTTTATATAACTAAAGAAATAAAATTAGCGGCCTTAGTCTAAATGCAAAATTTTTTTTTAGAATAACAGAAATTTTTAATTAAATCCAGAAATTCTAAAATTAAGAGAAAACATATTGAAGAAAAAAACTGTATACAGAAAGAGAAAGAAAATTATTCCTCAAACATATGTACAGTTATTATTGTGTAAATTAACCACTTGTTTATAATTTCAGCCTTTAAATTAAATTCTCCTTTCCATTTCCTCACCAGAATGCAGGTCACTTAGATTTTTTTTAAACCAAAGTTTTCGGATTCTAAGACAGTGTGTGTTTCTGGTCTGTGCTTACACTGCATTAGTTCCTATCAGCTTTGAAAATTTGTAATTATTCATATGTGCTTTAACTCTTTGTAGACCATAACGGCCCAGACGGTCTTTCATTCAAACGACCACAACTGTCCCAAACGGCTGAAATTCCGATGTTGTTTTCTTCCCTCCCCTAAGGTGCAGTTTCCCCAAATGCATTGTATCAGTTTATTGAAGACAGCTTGTCCTTAAAGGATTTATTTCTATTTTCTTATCTTTATTTGTTAGAAGTAGAAAGGATGTCATTTGAAATCTTCACTCTTCTTTGTGCATTAATGGATAGGTAGGTAAGGAAATTACTGTGACTTTCAAAAAACATTTCGAGCAGTTCAGTATCTTAACATACAGGTTAGCGAAGGCTTCAGTTTTCAAAGAGTTAACACTGCCAACATTTGAATTTGTCAATAATGATAAAGTTGCTGAACTAGCATAGTTACAAATTAAATTGTGTAGTCTTTGACTATTAGTCAACATTTTTAGTTTACATTTAACTGTTCCTGTTAATTACATCACCAGAAGTTGTAGTTGATTTTGCTAGGATAATAACATGCCTTTAAGTTCAAATTTCTTTTTAAATAAGAGGTTCTTTTATCTCACTTTATAGTTACTTTCAGACATAGTGATAATTTGCTGCACATCTCTCAGGGGTTTTGGACTAACTTTTGACAGATCAAGTAAGACCTCATAATAACATAGTCAAGAGGTTCATAAGTTAGAAGATAAAACATGCAGAAATTATTGGGAACAGTGGTTTGCTTATTGAAACAAATTTCTAATTATTAGATGATGCTTAAAGAGAAGGAAATTTTTTTTAATTGGCCAAAATATCTGCGAAGGTTTAAAACTAAAAAGATGCCTAAATATTTTGTTGAGAGTTGTTCCTACAAAACATAAATGTTTTGTGGCTTTTAATGTGTAATTGTCTAATATCATTTAAGAATCAGTGTCATAAATTACATATATTTTCACGTCTGGGATATTATTAATTGTGATTTTAGTAGCGCATTTTAAACCTATATTTAAAAATAATAAAAAATAAAAATTTAAAGTGGCCTTGTAAATCTATAATAACTAAGAGCACCTAACTACCTAATTTAATTATTTGTAATTAATTGCTCACCCTTAAAAGTTATCTGTGCATGTTAAAGCAAGTTATTGCCCTGTATTAATTCTTGCTGTGGTCACAAGATACCACCTCAAAATGTAAAAATTAATGTAAACTTATTCCTTATAGTTAGTGAGACTTATAATACAAAGCGATTAATCACCTCTGGGGCTTTAGTGGTTTATTGGAACCTTAAAGTATGTTAACGGGCTTACAATCTCAGTAACTCTACATGAAGCTATGACATTAACTGTAACTAACAATTAACAGACAGACTATAACTAACTTTCAAAATTTGCCAACTGTGCCTGCATCAGACTTTCATGTTTGTTCTGATTAGCAGGTCTCTCTCTAGGAAGCAGCAGTGGTGGCAATAGCTAGTCTTCTGTTATTATTTTTTCTAATAAAGAGCTCTTAAACAATTTTTTGCTTTTAGAGATGTGAGTTCTTTTATTAAACAGTTCTAAATTTGCCGACTTATCAACATTTTGGTGATTTTAAGATCAGTTTCTATAGAAAATTTTTAATTCTGAGGTTTTTTCGACAATTTTTTTTAAAACTCGTAGAATTGATAAATTTCATTAAAATAATGGTAATATATTGAAATTATATTTAAAAAAAACATTAAAAGGAAACATTTTTATTTTCGCTGTCATGTTATAAGTTTTCTTTTGGCAACTTATACAATATTTTGAATCTGAAATATGAACAAGGTATAATGCTATAAAGCACAATTTATGAAACAGCTCTTATCAAAAGCAAAATCAGCTATGTAATTAATTAAAATGTCTTCTTAATTTTTTCATAGTAAGAGTTTTTACCATGTATTGTCTCAGAATATGCATCAGTTTTTCTCCATAAAATTAATTTTAAACTTTCCCCCCCCCACCATTTTTCACCAAAATATTTCTGGCATTTGCTGTACAGAATTGGTAAGGATAATTTTTCTTTATTATTTTAGACATTGAGCTTAAAATTTAGAAGCATTTGAAGGCAAGATTTATAGACCCACGATTGAGAAATATTACAGTTTAAAAATATCTCCATGGTATCAAACACGTATGATGTATTTTTCAGAAAGTGCATGAATTTTTACCTTTTGGAGAACATCTGGAAGAACAATGAAAATATTTGAATGTTTTTCTTTGATACTAGAATCTTTTTCTTAACATGCATAGCTTCCCTTATTTCTTTACTTTCACTAGATAAAGCATGGAAAATATCAAAAATGCTTCTAATCTTATAACATGGGCGGCATATAGAAAGATTTTTTTTATTATAAGGAAATTGAAACTTAAATTTAAAAGATTCATCTAATATGTCTTAATGCATCATACGTACAGCTGGCACTAGGCATTTTTCCCACCTGAGCATCTCTGTGGATCCTAAATTCTGCGCCTTTTCCTTTCTAATTCTGCCTTTCAATGCCTGATGAAATTCTAAAAGTTTTGCCTTTCTTAGATTTTTTATTCGGGTGCCTTTCTAGATTTTGTCGTTCGGTGAATGTTCATATACTAAAGAAATAAATTAGCGCTTTTATATTCATTCTAAATTCATTTAGTGTTTTTTAGAATAGCAGAAATTCTTAATTAAATCCAAAAATTCTAAAATGAAAAGGAAATGTGTTGAAGAAAGAAACTGAATACATAAAGAAAATTATTCTTCAAAGATATATGACATATACATGTATTATGATATTATGTAAATTACCCAATTGTTTATAATTTTAGCCTTTACTATAATTTCCCATTAGAGTTACTGAGCTAGATTAAATTTAAATTAGATTGCATAATCTTTGACCTAGTAGTCCACATTTTTAGTTTGAGTTTGACTGTTCTTGTTTAATTACATCACCGTGAGTTGTAATTAATTTTGTTAGCATCAGAACATGCCTTTATGTTCTAGGTTCTTTTTTAAGGCTTATTTAAACCTTTGTCTGATATTGTTTGGGAAGGCTTCAAATTAAAATGACGGATAAATATTTAGATGAGTGTTGTTACAAAACAGAAATGTTTTGTAGCTTTTAATCTGTAATTATCCTAATATAATTAAGAATCAATATCATAAATTACATGTATTTTAAATTGTGAAATTTTATTAGATTTTGATTTTAGTAGAGCTTTTTAAAAAAATATTGTTAAAATAAAATTTAATAGTGGCCATGTAAATCCATAATGACTAAGGTTATCTAACTACCCTAATTTAATTATTTATAACTAAACTGCTTACCCTTAAAAATTATCTCTACATATTTAAGCGAGTTATTGCCTTCATTAATACTCACTGTGGTCACAAGATAAAACACAAAAATGTAAAAATTCATGGTAAAACTTATTCTTTGCATCTAGTGATACTTAAAATAATACAAAACAACTTATCACCTCTGGTGCTTTAATGACTTATTGGAACCTTAAAGTATATTATCTGGGTTACAATCCCTGGAACTCGACACGAGGCTACAACACTAACTGCATCAAAGAGCCTGACTAACTTTCAACACTTGCCAACCGTGCCTATCAGGCCTTTCAGGTTTGTTCTAATCAGCAGGTTTCTCTTTAGACAAACAGCAGCGGTTACAATATTCAGTCTTTTTTTATGAATCCTGCTGATTATGGTTTTATTTCTCATTTTAACCTGTGCCAATTGACATAAAATCTGCCTGCTATTTACTAAATCTCTAGCCTGAGCAAGTACGTGACAAAATGAGACATAAAAGAAAAAAATCAACATGAAGCTGTTAGTAAAAAGTAAATTAAATGTCACTGATCTTTTTTTAAAATATGTCAAACTATTATAAGTGTAAAATATTTAATGCTGCTTGATAAATTTTACAAAATTAATTTTATTCTCAAATTTTTTTAAAGATATTGTTTATTAAATCATGTAATTATAATGCATCCTATTTATTTATATTCTTTTTTGTTTGTTTGTTTGTTTGTTGTTAGGATGGTATTAAAAAGTGAAGTTCAGGTATAGATGATATCTTTAATTTAATTTATTTGGTTCCCATTTGTTGATAGGTCCTTAATTTTTTCCATTAATGGTCTTTACATTCTATTTGCAGATACCCTTCATTTCTATTTGCAGAAATGTGTGCGAACCCTGTATATTTAAATTTAATTATTTTCATGATTATTACTGTTGCTTTATAACAAAAAATAAAGCTTTAATCATACATTAATGATGCAGTTTTTATAGAATTAAATGTTTTGAAATTGCGAAACATGAGAATGTGTAGAATAAGCTGGACTAAATCATTCTGTTTATTATTTGTTTTTATATGCAGTAAATGAAATATTAAGAAAACTCTTTGTACTTTGTGATATATAACTAGAAGATAATCTGAAGCAAAAGATTTTAAGACAGTAGTATATATTTTTGTAATTGATATGCAAATTATGTCGGATGAACTAGTGTGGGTCAAATAACAGAGTTGGGAAAATACTGGAATCTTATCTTACAAATATGATGAGATTATTATTTAATAATATTATAGTAGTTCATACTGTTTAATAATATGCTGTCAGAAATTTTAAAGGTATGAAGAATAATAGTGGGACATTTTCTAGATCTATTGTTCAGTGCAAAAATGAAATGGTAGCTGTATAAAGTGTGAAAAAAAATGACTTTTTTTGGAGGGGATAAACCATGTAATTTTTCTTTTAATTGTTAGTTGTTTTGATGATGGTCTTTAAGGTATCCTGGCATTTGCAAGGTGTTGTTTGTAAATAGTGAAACAATTCATTTTTCTGAATTTAAGAATTTTTAGTGGCTTTTTAGAAAGTAATATAATATGCCTTGGCAACAGGTATCTTAAATATTATAACAGGCACATTATTTGTTAATCTGACATAAATAATGTTTTCTTTAATTGTTGTCTTCAAATCTTTATGAAATTTTTTATGATACATAATAATTTTCATTTATTTTTCACATTATTATTTTGAGAACATGAACTTTTGTATGAAAACATAAAATTATATAAACTTATTTTATTTTTGTTGTAAGTTTTATTAATAATTTGAATTATTTTATTCCTATAACTTTCTTTGAGGAATTATTTATTATTATTATTATTATTTTGGTTTTGATTTTTAGTTGTATCTCATATTTAAAATCTTTTACATTATTATTTTGTTTGTAAGCTATGTTTCATATTTTACATTACTGTTTTTTAATATGGAATGTAATTTAAAAAAATATGGGTCTGAGTTCACAGTTCATTTTATATGATACCAAGCTATGTCTTAAATCTACCTAAAAATACAGGAAGTAAATAATTTGGGGGGGATATTCAAAATTTTGTAAGATAAAATATGAATTTTTCTGAACACATCTAAATATCTTAACTATAAAAAGTCTTTAAATATCTTAATTGTAGAAAGTCCCATTTTCTTTGGTGGAGAAAGAGTTTTGGAGGATTGTCAATGCTGTTGATGAGGATGTGACTGTTGAGTATGGTGCAGACCTTCATACAATTGATCATGGATCTGGTTTCCCAAATAAGAAAACAAAAAGCTTGTTGCCTGGTGATGAGGTATAGGTTTTCGATCTTTCAATAAAAATATAGTAAAATAATGTTTTTTATTTATTCAAAAATTTTTATTAGCTGTTTTTCTATTCTGTAATACATTTTAGAGAAGTTTGATTATCATTAAAAAATGTATTTTTATTACTGCTTACAGGAATATGTGACATCAGGTTGGAATTTAAATAATTTACCTGTTCTTGAGGGATCGGTTTTAAAGCATATCAATGCTGATATCTCAGGAATGAAAGTAAGTATTTTTTGCTCAACCTTTTGTATGTGTGCATATTATCTGTTGTTGTATTATTTTTTTGCATATATGCTTGTAAAATATAAGAATTAATACTCATTTGTTTAAAAATATATTAACTTAAAAGGATCAAGTTTTTTTATAATTACTTTTAATAATAGTTAATTAGAATTTTTATTTATAATTACTACTAATAATAATTAATAGAATTTTTATTTGTAAATCTTTCTGGTAATAATCCTTTAAATGTAGATACCTTGGACATAGGTTGGAATGTGTTTTGGCAACTTTTGCTGGCACAATGAAGACCATTGGAGCTATTCAATTAACTACCTTCACTGGTAATATTCCTAAATTATATTGTTTGATTTTTATTATGAATATAAATTATTTTTTTTATTTATGTTTCTTTTGTGTGAACAAATAAGTATATTTAATTTTGTGTGAAATTTCAGTTTTAAAATTATATGTCAATATTTATGTAAGAAAAGGTTACTTAGTATTAAAATCATAACCCTCTAAAAGTAAGATAGTATTGTTATCATGTTATATTACCATATATTCTGGCTTATAATTCACACTTTTAATTTAAAAAAAAAAAAATAATAAGATCGAAATTTACGGGTACGCATTACATGCCACATATAAAAACAATAACTTTAAAAATAAGAAAAAGATAAGCATACGGAAATTAGATGTCTGAATGTACTTAAATGCTGTTTATTTAAAAGAAATGATATACCAGGGATGGGCAAACTTTATCGGTCACAGGCCAAAAATCTAAAAAAAAGAAAGTTTGCTGGGCCAAGCTAAATTTTTCTAAAATTTTGAAAACAATATACATGTATTACAACTTGAATATGTTAATGAGATGAATTGCGATTTCATTTTTAAAAGTTCCTTATATTGAGGTCCAAAGTCAGATGTACTGATTTTATTTAAGGATCGAATAAATCTTCTGAAATAATTCTTTCTAAGGTTCATAATTGAAAACATTTGTACACATGCAAACAAAGCACTGATTTGCTGGACGTGAGATATTAAATTTGTTAACTTTCTACTTTCGATAATGAATTGTAAAACTTTTTTGCCTTTGTAGGTGAATAGCATATTTCTGGAAATTTATCTGTTAGTTTGTCAAAATCTATTGCGAAACTTTTCTCCCCCATAGAACTAAATTAGTCAGTGCCATAAATTGAGTACTCAAAGTTACTTAAAGTTTTCAATTTCATTTGTGTTGCTTTTTGTTCACTTTCAGGTAAATTAATGTACACTGTTTCTTGTTACAATATTCCATTGTAACAGTTTTCTAAGACCCAATTTGCGATACCTTTTCCTTGGATAGGCCATTTTGTTACTTCTCTTTGGGCATATTAATTATTGTGATTTCATTTTTCTTCCAATCACATATGGAGCTTTCACCAATACCAAACATCCTTGCTTCAGTACAATTGCACGATTTCTGTTTTCTTTCGCAAACTGAATAGCATTTGAAACTAGCACTGTATTAATTTTGTTTGGCAGGCGTCATATTTACTACTAAAAGGAACACTAAATCAACCGTATTAAAACTAAAGCAAATGCAGTACTAAAGCCTTCGATGTTCACTTTAAAATCACAACTTCAACAAACTACAGAAAGAGAAAGAACCTGACTCCTAATTCCACAAATTCATTTGGGTTGAAATTGCATTCTTACTCCAAATCATGCCCCCCCCCATTTTCTTGAAACCCTAGAATAACATTCTTGTGCATACCTGCATTGAATAGAATGCATCCTCTTTTCAGAATTATTTACTTCCTCAACCATTTCCACTGCACACATATTGTTCTCCTCATTGCTTGCCAGTTCATAATATTATTGTTTGAAAGCCGGGGAAAATTCTTCAAATGAATGACTTCAAAAAATAAGAAACATCTCACATGTATTTTTCAAGTTTCTTAATAAAGAAAAGAGTGCACATTATCCTGCAAATATACCTAAAAATAAAAAACTGTAGCTTGAAATTATAGGTTCGCATTATATGCGCAAATATATAGTATATTATCACATATACATTCAGACAGTGATTTGTGCAGCCTAGCCTGAAATGCTAGATAATCTGAACATTAGGTCTAAAAAAGCATGAAATTTTTAGTAAAGCAAGTTATTTTTAAAAATTAACCCCAAAATTATTTCTTAGAAATAATTCTTGCTTTTTTATCACTGAAGCAAGAAACATAATGTTGCATAATACTTGAAAAATAAGTTGGCTTTTCATCCAGATTATCATTTTTGGTTTATAATAATTTTAATATATTGTATTCAGATAATGTACATTTGTTGCTTTATCAGATTGTTTTATGCAGACATTTGTATATCTGACCTCTTGATGGTAATCAAGGATCATATTATTGTGTATATTGTTTTTCTTTATGAATTCACCTGTAATAACTTTATAGGGGTGAACCCAAAACATGGTATGGAGTTCCAGGTGGCAAAGCTGAATCATTTGAAGATGCGATGAGATCTGTTGCTCCAGAGCTTTTTGATGCTCAGCCTGATCTCTTACATCAGCTGGTCACCATAATGAATCCAAATCTTCTGATTTCTCAAGGTGTACCCGTAAGTCATTGCTTTCCTACCTTGAATCGGATGTAATTTTTAGTATTCATCCTTCAGTAGTCACTTCTTAAATTGTTATATATATATAATAATTTATTTCCTAAACTATTGATTAATTGATTATATTATCTCCTAAGTTTAATTAAAGTAGAATTATTTTAAAAGTGTGAATCCATACTGGTAAGTTATATTTTGAAAGATGTTTTGAAGTAATTTGAAAGCAAAATGTTAATAATGTTTTAACGGGGACTGGAGTTAAATCATCACGAAGAATAATTATTCAATTGTAAAAGGAAAAATTAAAACATGTAATTCATTGTCATTGATCGGAAATTAGTTGACTTTTCAAGGGGAACAAACCAACTCCCGTTCAATGAACAATAATTGATAAAAATACGTAAATACGAAAGTGTTTCGTCTTTACTCGAGTTATAAGTTAAAGCCAAACCGGCAATTCTAGTCAGGCCAAAAATTTCCGCGAATAGTTGCTTATACTCAAAGAACTTATTTTCATGAAGCATTTTAGTCAATTCAATTTGGAGTAAAAATCAATTACTGTAGAGAAATTCTGTAAAACTCGAGTAATCCGTCCCCGACACTATCATCTTTATGTATTTGAGTACTATATTATTTGTAGAAATTAAACATTGGAAATTGTCATTATGAAATCGAATTCAAAGTAAAGTTGAAATAAACATAGAAGATTATAAAAAAGATAAATAATGCAAACTTTGTAAAAACAAATCAAAGAAAACAATATAAAAATAATATAGAAAATAATAATAATAATAAATAAGATCAGTGAATGTACATGAAGATATAAAGGCCAGAAAGGTATTAAGTAACTTACATTCTTTCTAGTGGGGTTAGTTGGCAAAGTGTTCTCTTCGTGTCTGACTCAGAAGTGTAGGGTGTCCGAAAATTCTTAGCGGCAGTAGGGGCTTTGAATAATATCAGTCGGTAAGACTTGGGTGAAGTAATTTATGGTAGTGGGTGGGACTTGGAATTCTTGAGGGATGTATTTTGTGGAGTTCTTATCTGAGAGAGACCTTCTGTTAAGATTTTTTTGAAAATACTAGTGAATGGAAATTAATTAATTTCTGGCTAATTGTCGTGTTGCAATGTGGGTGGGACTTGGAATTCTTGAGGGATGTATTTTGTGGAGTTCTTATCTGAGAGAGACCTTCTGTTAAGATTTTTTTGAAAATACTAGTGAATGTAAATTAATTAATTTCTGGCTAATTGTCAATGATTAAGAATTTAAGAAAGGAAAAAGGCATTTTCGCTGTCCAAGAGCTAATAGACAGTCTAAAGGCAGGAAATAGGCCCATTTTTTTAGTAACAGTATATATCTGAAGACAATTAGCTTTTTACAATATATACAATTGAGTAATTACACTATATACAAATCTTTCAACTGACAGTCATCCAACTTATACCGCCTTCTCAGGTTTAGGAATAAATTATCATATCCCTATCAGTTAAATGATTTAGAGTGAGTATTTAACGCCTGCTCTTTTAAGGCAATGGTTGATAAATTGAAAGGGAATTAGATTATTTTTGAGAATTTTGATAAGGATCAAAATTTCGCGTTGTAAATCTATTGTATCTGTGCATATAGTTTTAATTCGTTGTATTTGATTAATTAAAGTATTGTTAATTACTTTTTTGGATATGTTGGAGTTCCAATTTATTAATTTGTTAGTATTGAAATTGAAGTTTCTTGTTTTGTCAAAAAGTAAAATTTTTTTGTAGTTAATGATTTGAAGATCTAGAAAGTCTATGCTATTTTGTGAATTATTAGTTTTATAAAGTTTAAGACAATTCGGATAAATGTCGGAGTTTTCAATTTTACCAAAATTATTAATTGTAATAAGGTCATCAATATATCTGTAGGTGTGTTTGTAGTAATTTTAACTCTTGTGGTTGTAGATTTTTTGGAAGTTAAATTCTTTGACAAATAAAAAGATATTACAGATCGAGGTGCTATCTTTATATATATATATATATATGATTCTCAACAAATTGTTAGCTATTATATATTCACTTTTAGATATGTAGAACTAATCAACAAGCAGGAGAGTTTGTGATTACATTCCCAAGGTCATATCATGCTGGCTTTAACCAAGGCTACAATTTTGCAGAAGCTGTTAATTTTGCTCCTGCTGATTGGGTAATGTATTTAAAAAATTTTCTGAAGCTTTTAATTCATGGTTTTTGTTGTTTTAGTATTAATACTAACATTATCTTAGTCATTGAAAACCTTCTTCATATTTTCTGTTCTTGTTTTATGGATACTCTGCCAAAATTGTAAATATGCATTTAAAGAAAATTTTTTTTTTCACAGTTTGATTTTTCATTTATTATAAAATAAAGAAATGTGTGATCTTTGAGTTTTGTATGAAAAAATCTTCTGTGGACATCATGACTTTCTTGTGTGGTATTAAATTATATATATATTTAAAACTTATTTCCTCGAATTATTATTTTACATTAATTAGCTGATCTCTGAATTCAAGTTGGAAGTTGCATTAAAAAAAGGGCAACTTTTAAATTTAAATATCCTGGTGAATTTTTATTTTTGGGAATTAAACTTCTTGTATTTTTATTTTTCATAACCACTATTAAAACTGCCCCAAATATAAGTATAGGAATCAGGAGACTGCAAAAAAGTTAGATTTTGTTATTTATCCAAAGTTGTTGTATTATTATTAAATTTGGCATTTCCAAAACAGGAATGTTTTCATCAACAGTTGTGAAAGTCAAGGCCAAATAAAGACGTGGGTGGCAGTAGTTGATTGCACTAAAAAGGGAAGATGTTATAGCAGTCCCATATGCAAAATTTCAGCATTCTATAGCTAATTTGTTTTTGAATTACGCGAGATATATATGTACACTGGGCAAAAGGAAAAATGGGACAGTTCTATATCTCCCATTCTAGCCTGGGACAATTCACTTGCGTTCTTCATGTCTCAAAATCAACGACTTTGGATATATATTAGATAGCATTGTTCTAATATAGATATTTTGACACAAAATAGGACTTTTTTCTGAAATGGCATGCCAATTTTTTTTACGTTTCGATTCTACGACTCAAATTATGCCAAACTGCCATCTTTTTAAAAAATTAGCTCTCAAAATTTTAACTGCTCGATGCTAATTGAATTTGATATATATTTATTAATATATCTCCTTTTTCTATTAAATTTACTTGCTTCCTTTTTCCAGAATTCGAAATTTAGGCTTAATACAAATATAATTTGCATGTTTGTATGATTTATTTTTAAAATTTGTATTTTTAAATATTTTGATAAATTTTTTCGATTTTTTTTTTTTTTTTTTTTTTTTTTTTTTTGTTATAATCTATAAAATTTTTAACATCATCTTAAAGTAGGTGTATTTCTAGGCACACCTGCAAAAAATTAGAATTTTTTATTCAAAATTTTCTAAAATATACATCAATTTAGATATTGACGTGTCTTCAAATTTGGCATATTTGTTATTACGCACTTTATTAAAATTATTTGAAAGTATGAAAGATGACCTTTTTTCTGCTCATGTATGGTGAAAAAAAGGAAAGGAAAATAGGTTGCTATAAATTAAGAAGTTTGCTAAGTAAATTATTCTTGGCACAAACTGGAAAAAATGCCTCAAGATAAATTTTCAAATTTCTCCGTAAATTTCACACCAAATTTTAGGCATAATTTGAGTCGTAGAATGAAAATATGGAAAAGAATTGGCATGCCATTTCAGAAAGTCCGATTTTTTTTTTTTTTTTTTCCAAAATACCTATATTAGAACAATGCTATATATAAATCTAATATATATCCTAAGGTGCACTTTCGAGACATGAAAAAAGCAATTTGAATTTCATCAATCGTCCCAGTAGAACAGGAGATATAGAACTCCCCCTTGTGCAGTGTACATACAGACATCAGGAAGATATACATACCAATGCCTTGCAAAAATGGATATTTCCATTGAAATCTTATAACTGAAATTTTTCACAATTACTGTACTTCCTTTACTATATACAAAGAGGTAAAAATAATTATGTTGTTGTTGCTTCTCTTAAATCTGGCATTAGCATCATGAACAGGTACAATAGTATCTGCCATTTGAGACTGAGTTGCGTAGGGCTTAATTTCTAAAATTAAAAGTGCTAAACTCTATGGTAGGCTGTCAAGAAGGAGGGGGGAAATATAAATAAATTTACCAATAAATAAAATCATTAAGAATCTGTAAAATGGTAAATAAAAATATAACAAATTTTTAAATTAATCTTAAATAATTAACTAAGGAAATAACATTCAGCCTTGTTTTATATGGGGTTACAGCTGGAATTGGAGTTTCTCTCACAAGCAAAGTGATAGCTCAGACAGCCTCCAGCAGAATTTAAGCCTCGCTTATACGTCTGTTTCATTGGATGATAGAAACAGAAACCATTGTTTTTCCAATGCACCAATGAAAACAGGTAAAACAATTAAAGCCCCATTAATGAAAATAGAGAATTCTAGAAAAAAATATGAAAGTATGAAAGGAAACTTTAACGTAGAAGTATAATGTTGAAAACAAAGAGAAATCCAACACTTTCTGACTGTAGTGCCCTGATGATATAATTAGCTGTTAAGCCGAATGTGGCAGAGGAAAATTTTTTCCATGAATTTTATATACTAATAATAGCATGAAAATAAACATAAGACACTGTACAAGTTACAATTCTTATCCCCTTTATTTGGTTACGTCATTCAAAAAGTCTGCAGTGTCACTAACTGCATGTCCAACACATGACCAGAGTGATCACTTTGAGTACTTTTAGGAATGGAAAATTTATCTGCTGTCATAAATTCATTACATTTCCTGGAGAAAAAGGCTTTGACATGTGTGTAGGGGCTTTTCATTCTTTAAATGTCTTAATCTTCATCAAAATGTTTGTTCGCCAGGGAAAGATGGACATGCATTCAGAAATTAGAATCAATTTCTTATTAAAATAAAAGTCTGCTGAAACTGTGATTCACTTGTGTGAAACATGTGCCAGAGCTCTTAATTCCAATGCACTCTGCCTAAAACTGTGATTTAGCTTATAACTGTGACGTGTGTAGGGGCTTTTCATTCTTTAAATGTCTTAATCTTCATCAAAATGTTTGTTCGCCAGGGAAAGATGGACATGCATTCAGAAATTGGAATCAATTTCATATTAAAATAAAAGTCTGCTGAAACTGTGATTCACTTGTGCGAAACATGTGCCAGAGCTCTTAATTCCAATGCACTCTGCCTAAAACTGTGATTTAGCTTATAAATTTAGTAGTAACAGAGCTGTGCTCTGACACAATTATGGTGTCACCAAGTGCTTTTTGTACCAAGGGTAGTAGCTTTACTAAACTATGATCAATGAACCCTTCAAGAGAGAATCTGAGAATCTTCTCAGATATATTTTATATTCATTTCTCTTATTTTACTAAAATAATCTAATGTATGTGCATTGTTATGATTATATGAAAATGCATAATAAATATTATCTAATAAACATATTTAAGACAGCTTATTAATTTTTTGCAATTTGAACTTCCTTGCTTTTTCAGCTTCCTATTGGTCGAGTATGCGTATCCCACTATGGAATGCTTCATCGCTTTTGTGTGTTTTCTCATGATGAGCTTGTGTGCAAAATGGCATCCGATCCTGATCGCTTAGATATAAGTATTGCTGCTTCAACCTATCAAGATATGTTGAAAATGGTAGAATCAGAAAAAGAATTAAGGAAGTCTCTTTTGGAATGGGTTTGTGTTTTTAATATATATTTTGTATTTACTTAACATTCATGTTGTGCTTAAGAAATTAGTAAAAGTCTACTTTTTTTCCTTTCTTTTCATAGGGTGTCACACAGGCAAATAGAGAAGTTTTTGAGTTATTACCTGATGATGAACGTCAGTGTGAATATTGTAAAACAACTTGTTTTTTGTCAGCTGTCACTTGTTCATGCAATAATAGTAAGCATTTCTCCCTCCTTGCAATTTTAAATCATTTTGTTATTGTATTTTTATGTGATATAGTGTTAATGTTTTTTGTTTTGAGTAATATTTCTTGGAGTTTTAATCATTCTTATAATTTAATTTTTAGCATCTTGGTGTAGTCAAAATAACATAATCAAATAAGCAGTTCTCTGATGCACTTGAAATTTCATTGTTGCTCAGCTTCCCGATTGGGTTTGGAAAGCTTCAAATTGTAGTGTCTTCCTGACAATGTAACAAATTTCACTGGAAGTGATAGATTATTAAAGAGCTTAAATTGGGGATAAGGTCTTAGAACATGCTAGCTTCCATAGAATCACATGGAAATTTCTTTCACTGTCTTGATGGAGAGAAGGGTGCGTGTGACTGATAGGCATTCCAAAGAGAATCTTTTGCAAGGTTTTTTAGGCAGTCATCTCTCAGTTGTGAAGAATTCATAGCAATTTTGTGTGACTGTGAAGCAACAATCACATATGTCTTCCACTAACATGTCTCAGAAGATGCTGAAGATTTATCTCTTGAAGATTAACATAGACAGATATACATAGACAATATATCTATGTAATATAGACAGATATACATAGACAATATTATCTAGATTGTACCTCCATGGAAAACAGGAGTTTCGAGAAGCTGGAGTTCCTGACGTGGATAATATAGATGCAAAATCTTTAAACAGGGGGTTTATTTACTGCTGAAAACTTTTACAAGATCTTCATAAAAGGGTTTAAACTGAATACTTTGGTCAGTTATGACAAAACTGTGAACATAAAAGAAAAGCTCACAATCTCTAAAAATAGGAGATTTAGTTTTAGTGTCCAGTGATACAAGAAATGAACAAGTGATTGCAAAAAAAGAAAAATTTGTTAGTGGGGGGAACTTTCAGTAATGAAGTGGTTGAAGGTTTTGAATCCTTTTTATAGATCAAGCATTTTTAGGGAACCTGAAATTTTTTTCTTTGCTAAATGTTGTGTTTATTGTTACATATTGGAATGTAAAATATTCTTCTTTAAAATGCTGTCCTGAAAGCCAAACATGTATTAATGTGTAGTGCATGACATTTATATAAGTAATATATAATGACATTTTATCTCTTTATTGTCAACTTTTTGTTAAAAAAAGGAACATTTTTGATAAACTTAAATTTGTTTTCATTCAGTGTTATGTTACTTATTTACTTTTATGATTTGTTATATTAGTAGACGTCGCTTGAAAATTTGCATTTTTATTTACAGTTTAAAATTTTTTAAATTAATATTTGAAAAATCAATGAATTTTCTTCCTTTTAGATAAATTGGTTTGCATTGCCCACAAAGATAAGCTTTGCTCATGTCCACCAGAAAAACACTGCTTAATGTAAGTAACCTTTTTTATTTTATGCTTACTATTATAAAAACATAATTTTATTTTGTGTGAAAACCACTTTATCTTATACATAGCTTTGAATGAAGGAGGATTATCACTTATTCTTTATCTTTTACTGCAGCTTTACAGAACAGAATTTATTAAAAAGAAATATAAAATATGCAAAATTGCATTTTTGTTAGTGGAGAAGTTTAGAAATTAATTTTAATTTATTGCGGAAAATTAATGATATATAAATATTGTTATCAATTTATGTTTGGTATTTACGTAATTTTAAATTTATTGAAAATAGGCTTTATTTTTTTAAATGGGTAATCATATTTATTAATAAATGATGTGCTGTTTTTCACATTTAATATTTATTTTATGTTTGGAGTATATCTGTCTATGTTGTGTCGTACAAGCTGATGATATTGATCAGCCCCATGAAATTAAATGATCACTCAATGATCTGATTATATAGTTAGCCTTAATATAAAATGTGTGTATTGATTTTTTTTAATTAAGTTAGTTTCTGCTTTCTTCCTAAAGAGCTAACTAATTAGCTAGCTAGTTTCTTTTTAAATAAATTTGTGAAAGTATAAAAATATATTTGTAGATTAAATAAAGAATTGGAAAAAAAAAATACATATGCCCATTATTATAGAAAGCAGTAATCTGAAACTAGTGGCTTGCAAAGACATTTCATTTATTTATTTGCTGCCAAGATTTCAAGATTAAGTACTTTGAAATCTGAGTTTGTATTATTTTCATTTCCATTAAAAGTAAACATAAATAACTCACCAGAAAATATATAAAATGGAGCTAATTAATTTACAGTGTGATATAAATCTTAATTAAAGATTTGATAAATTTTATTCGTACTTGTCAAAAGATAAATAACCTCAGTCACAAACTCTTACACTAAGAAAAATCACTTTGTTTGGGAATACATTTAAATGCGAAATGAGCTTTTTTCACATCTGAAAATTAATTGCAAAAGAATGATTGAGCATCTGCAATCTGTGAAGATAATTTCTTTAAAATTTCATCAGAGTTGAAACATAATCTAGTGTCAAGCTATCATGAGAAATTTAAAAAAAAAAAAGTATTTATGCATTGAAGAAAAAAGTTAGTAAATACAGGAAAGAGAGTAGATTGTTATTATTTATTCTCAGTTTTTGTCCCACTTTGCAAATTTTCTCTGAAAACTTAGTTTTCATAGCTGGTTTATTTTTAATTAAAATTATGTAATGATTAATTAAATGTGTTAGAATTATTTGAAAGAAATCTGACTCTAAGAGCTTAATGTTGTCAATATATTTTTTGAATTTCAAAAAGAAAACAGAAATGTCTTATAAGTACTAAACTTTAGATTTTAAATTTAAAAAATGAATGTAAATTTGAATTTTTCCCATTGTTGGTATATGTTTTGGTATTTACTAAGTGATATTTAAAATTCATTTAAAATATTTTTTATTTTAATAAAAATTTTCCTATTTAAAAAAATTCTGACCCATCAGCTGTTTTTAATGTTGATGACAGATTCTTAGACCTGCATTAATCGTGCATTCACATGCAATACGAGTTTGAGACTACTGACTTGAAGTATGCTGTTTCACTGTACTTCTTTTTTTGGGTGGGGAAAGAAAGATTTTATTATATTTGCATAATGTGATGACATCGATCAGCCCCATGAAATGAAGTGATTATTCAGTTGTCTGATTATGCAATTATGCTTAATGTGATATCCAATAAAATACTGACCATTTCAAATTTTATATATCTTTTCATAGGAACTTTTGGGGGGGGGGGTTATTGATTATATTTATAAATGGTAGTAATTAAATTTCTTGTCAAAGTGTAAAAATATATATGTAGATAAAATTTAAAAAAAAAAAAAAAAAAAAAAAAACCTGAATAAATAAATTGTGCTCATATATTTAAATCTGAGCACAATTGCTGATGTGTGTCTACCTGTATATTTGTGGATAAACATCAGCTACCCAAAAGAATTAACTGCAGAAAGCTGTTTTACTCATCACCTGTCCACAGGTGATATGTGGTCATTAACAACAGGACAGTAATTACTAACAGCATAACCTACAGATTCCATAATTATACATAAGAGTAAATTCTATATATATAAGTGGTAGCACATAATATGACTTCTAAACAGTGTATTTATTTGTGCATATTGCTGTTTATTGGTTTGGGCAATTGCAAAGAATATATATTTGATTAATCATTTAAAATTTGTTTGACAGATGACATTGGTAGTCCTCTACCTTCCTTTGTGAACAAAGAGTTATACAAATTTTGATATTTTATTATGATATTATTGATTATTTTATTTGATATTTATTTTGATATAATCTGATATTTTTATTAATATGTTATATATATATATTGTTATTACTGCTTTGCTTGATAAATTATTTCTTTTTCGCAGCTATTAGCGCAAAAAAGTGTCAATAAGTTCTGATATATTCAGTTTTTCAGGTTTTTGAGCTTTAGCTTATAAGTTGCCGGGAACTGTTAACAGTTCCACTTTCACGATAGGTTAGTCTTCCTCCCAAAAAACACTGTAAAGCAGGCTAGCTCCCTCTTTACTTTCAATCACTGGCTCAGATAAATAACATAAAAATAATTAAATGAAGCAACCAGCTTTGAAAAACCTGTAAGGCTAATGCTACTCCGCTTCCTTTCTACTGCACAATCACTTTGAAAGACTTACAATTGCATCTACCAAATCACCCGTAAAGAATGTTCTCTCGCATATATAGGTCAAACTAAAAACCCTCTCAACCTCAGAATTAATAACCATAGATCTCATATTAAAAGATTTAAAAATAAAAATAAAAACAATAATAGCACCAAAGATCATCAACTTACAGCTATTCTTGAACATTATAATCAACATAATTTTGATCACATAGAAATTAACGTGCTTGATATTGTTCCTAACACCAAACTTAGACTGTTTAAGGAATCGATTTACATACTTCAAAATAAGTCACTTTATCCTTACGGACTGAATGCATATCTCAGTAATACCACTAATAGGCAGCACGAGATTTCTATATATGGACAATTCAGATTTTTTAGCACTACTACTAACAGAGGAACTAGAGGAGGTGATGCTAAAAACAAAAAATTTTTTTCGTCACAAGATCTGAAATTAATTATTCATAATCTTAATTCCTACCTTGGACATCAAGAACTTCGTTAAAAATGCCATTAAAACTTCTTCATACCTTTAAGAATACTACCTTATGGAATCTGATTAAAACAGTAAACTCAACCGTCTCAATGCTCCAAAATAGTCAAGGATCTTATTTTTAGACTTCTGCAATTTTAAACTAAAAACAGTAATTTCTTTCGCAAAAAACTTTTTTGTACTATTCAGTTCAAACACCCTTCTTACGATAAGTTCAAAATTCCTAGCATTTTCAAAAAATATCAGCACTTGCTTCCTAACCAACCTGTCCCAGATTAAACCCTGTTTTAAATTTGAAAAAAACCTTGGGTCAACTAGTTATAAACTACCACGTTATAAAAGATAATAGCACTTGTTACTGCCAAATGCCTGTCTACAAAAAATATGTCGATCCTTTCCACCGACATATAGTCACAGGAGATCTTAATATTGTAGAAAATACTGAATTACGTAACCTTATGCAACTTGGCACCAAGTTTCGTCCTACTTTCAGTCTTAATAGACACGTCTGCCTCAAACAATTCAATAATGATCTAGATCTATTTATTATTATTGCTAGTACAAGATCCAATTTACCCACTACAACTTTTCTTGAATGGAAAGCTGCACTTATTAAAGAATTTCAATGTTTGCTTTTCAAGGCGCCTAATTTCAACTCTTTACACAATAAAAAACGCCTGGAGGATCTCATTCAAAAATTGCAACATAACTTTATCATCACGAAGATTGACAAAGTAAGCAACAATTTTAGTATTATTTGACAACACACTCTACTACTACAACCTTCTGCATAAAGAGTTAAATAACACTTGCACTTACCAAAAAATAACTTCCAGTACTCAGATTCTTCTAAATAAATTTAAAGCACTACATAAAAGACTTAAAATACAACCCCAGAAATATAACAACAGGTTTGCAAATCTCTATGCCTTACCGAAATTTCATAAGTCTCCAATTAAATTCAGGTTCATAGCTAATAGTACTAAAAGTTATCTCAAAGAAATAGATTATCTCTTTGCGCAAAAACTTTGTATGATTCGTGAACTAATCAATAACTATGATTTTAAAGGTTTGCATTGCAACTGGATGATCTCTAGTAATGAACAAGTTATTAAAACTCTGAATTCACTTCAAATAGAACATATCCAATGCTACGACTTTGAAAACCTTTATACATCTCTACCACTCGAAGAAATTTTTACAAGTTTACTTGCTCTTCCAGATTTATTTCTACCATTCTCAGCAACGAAAAATGGCAGCTATTCCTTACCAGCGTTCTCTTCAATAATTTTATTCAGTTTGACAATTACATCTATAAACAAGTTCAGGGAATACCTATGGGCGGGAATTTTTCAACTTCAGTTTGTGAATTATTCCTGTTCACTAAAGAACTAACCTATGTACGTTCACTCAGAACGGAAGAAAGTCTCTTTTTCCAACACATCTATAGATATATTGATGATGTCATAGCATTTAATAACTACAACAAAATAGAAAACGCTAATATCTACCCTGCTTGCTTAAAACTTAATAAAACCAATACAGAACAGCATGATATAGTCTACCTTGATTTACATATTATTGATTACCGTTTTATCAAAGTTTACGATAAAAGAAGAGAATTTAATTTTTCCACACTTAAACTCACTAACTGGAATTCAAATATTTCCAAAAGAGTAATAATCAACACTATTTATTCACAGCTACTTAGAATGAAAAGAATTTGCAATACTGCGGATCACTTACAAGAAGAAATACTATACTTCATAACTATTTTAAAAAGTAACCAAATACCACATAATTAAAAATTCCCTTACCAAAGCTGGCATTAACCTTACCTAATTATAGATTTTTTGAGTTAGATAATGATTTTTTATACCTAAAGCTACGGACGGTTTAAGAAGGATGACTAATTCAGAGAATCTATTGTAAAAATGTACAGAAAATTCTTGTTTATTCATTCTCTTTCCTCCAAAAAATTTTGGCACTTTAATCTTAAATACTATTATGTACATATTTTTAAATTTAAATTTCTTTAGTGACCAATTTTTCTGCTTTTATTAACAAATCGGGCTTTTTTCATTTTTCATAGTAGCTTGATCGCCCGCTAGCTTGAAGAATTACGACTTTTTTAACAAATTACTGTTTTTTCCTTTTTCTCATGCTTTAATGGCCAAGTTTTTATAGTTTTAGCTGATTTGCCATTTTCACTTCGAAAAAATTTTTTCCATCCTTCTCCAAACCAAGCGCCATTTTTTGAGCTCTTCACACGGTTCCCGAGGTTTCCGGCCCCCTCCGATAATAGGAGACGAGTTACAGATAACGAAAATCACTTCGCATTGGCTAAACGCCCACAACTCTTCGCTCCCCCCTACCTACGTCATCCAAAAATAAGACGCTTGAAGTTAGCAGCCATTTTTCTGCATGTTTGCAGAGGGACAGCTTTACATCGCCAAAGGTCAGTTTTTTGTTTCTTTTGTTACAACTTTTTCTTGGTCTTAGCAAGACCCACTGAGTTGTTCTTTTCTCAATTTTATTTTATATTGATTATTAACTACAGGTTTTCTTACAGTTTTATAAAATCTACAATTTTTAAAAATTAAATTGTTAATCTTTAAGCTTGCAGGCCCAGCCCGAAATTATTTGTATTTTTAGGACTAATAGCTCATCGCTATTTATTTTCGTTTTGATTTTAATTTTAGACTAGATTTAGAAAGTTTGATTTTGATTAACATATTTTAACACCTTAATGTCTTTCTGGAAATTGGAACAGAGAATTGAGACTATTAAAATTTCCAAGACACTTTGTCAAAAAAATTTTTTAGCGAAAAAGTTTCAGTTGTCTGTTTCGGCGAAACGCGTAATGGGGTTAGCTTGATTCGACGTTCAAATAAATGAAATTTCCCTTGAAAAGCCTGTTTGGATGTCGAATTGGGCTAATTTACCATTTTCCGCTTACTTTTTAACTTTTTCTGTTATTTAATTTTATTGTATTTATGTTTTACATGTCTAATGATTTGCTTTTCATGTGTATTAATTTTTGAAAACGTCTTTAACCTTTTGGAGCAGCAGCAGCTCTTGGTAACTTTTAGGCGAGCTTTCTACAATTTTTTTATTTTTACTTATTTTGCAGCATATTGGGCAAGATGTTTTCTTAACCAAATTGGTTTTTCAAAAATTGTTATTACTGCTTTGCTTGATAAATTATATATATATATATTTTTTAATTGTAGATTTATACCTGTTACTGTTTTTTTATTCTTTGTCTGTGTTAATAATAATATTGCTGTTTTATGTCTGTGTTAACAATTTTATATTAATAATGTTTAGGAATATAAGAACATTTCTGTGAAAGTTTTGTTAACATTAAGAAAATCTTATAAAGTGTATGAATGTCAGAGTGCAGCATAAAATGTTTAAACATTTACAACATGATTTTTTTTTTGTAAAATTCAATAAAATTAGAAATGTGTTTAAAAAAATTACTGCAACATTTAACTCTGAAATTTGTATGAATAAAATAGAGACAACGAAAAATATGTTTTTAAAAAAGCTAGTTATCTAGCAAGCAGTGTAACCAAAAATTAAATTTCTCTCTCTCTCTCTTTTTTTTTTTTTTTAATTTATTTATTTATTATAGCGAGAATAAAACTTTTCATTTATATTCTAATTTTATTGCATAATGTGATGATATTGATCAGCCCCATGAAATGAAATGATTATGCATTGACCTGATTATGCAATTACTCCTTATTTACTTGCATATGTAGACTTAATATGATGTTTAAATTTAATTTATTCTCATGAATACATGCAATTTGTATTTCGATTGATGCTCCTTTATAAATAACATTCTGTTTGTATTTAAGACAACTAAAAGTATTGATTAGCTTTTTAAACATAACTGTGGGAAAAAATGTATATTTTTATTTAAAATAAAATTAAACAATTTGATTGTATAGGTATACAGATAACTTGATTCTTTTGTCATGAATATGACACCATTTGTCGGATGTGTAATACGATGATTATTTTATGATTTAGTTATTTATTCATTTATTTATAATTTTTATGATTATTTAATGCACTTTTTTTTTCTAGGTAACATGAATTTTCTTAAATGCAAAACATTGTTATTTGGATACAATTAGAAATATGATGATAATTAAATATGAAACTTCTGTCTATCAATTCATTTTATAGTTGAATGATATTAATAATTTATAAAACATTTATTCTGTTTACAGGTATCGTTACACTTTGGACGAATTACCAAGCATGTTGCATCGCCTGAAAGTGCGGGCTGAATCGTTTGATACTTGGTCTATTAAAGTAAAAAATGCCTTAAATGCTGCAGAAGGGGAAAAATTAAGTAAGTAAAAGTACACTTTTCTATTCCAGTTTTCATGCTTATTATAAGAGCTGAAATTAAATTGCTTTAATTTTTAGGTATATCAGATTTCAAAGATCTCATACAAGAAGCAGAAGAGAAGAGATTTCCCACAACGGAATTGTTACAAAGTCTTACATCTGCAGTTGAAGAAGGGGAAAAGTGTGCTGCTCTTGCTCAGCAGTTGCTGAGTAGAAAGGTTCGAACAAGGTAAATTTCATGAGTACATTGATTGCTATACAAGTTTTTTTTTTTTTTTTATTCATGAGAAGATCTGAAATTTTTTAACGTTTGTGATATATAATGTAGGCTATTTCAGTTATGGTGGTACAAATGTATTGATTGAGATTGCATTATAACTAATGCATCCTTTCTGCAGGCATTACTCCGTATTTGTGAATGTTTTAATGCAGTGAGCATGGATGATGCTATCAAATTGTAAGATATTGGTATTCTCTTTATTTTTGTATAGTTTATTAGCATAGCATTTTGCTTATTACAATAAAAGAAATCTGTAGAAATGGGCTGTCTTAAAAAAAAAAAGTGATTATTGCCGTAGATGTCTTAAAACAAAATAAAGCATATCTTTTTAAAAGTGCAGTTTGTACTGTAGCATTTTCAACACATTTTTTCATCAGTTAAATGAAGTTTGAGAATAAATAACAGGATGATTTACCAACATAGTGAAAGGTCTGTGACATGTTTTATATCATCTTAGAAGCTCGTATTTTCATTAAATGAATTTTTTTAGATACTGAGTTATCCAAATCTAGGATCCAAGCATGATCCAATAGGTGAAGGTGGATGTACTGTAGTGATGATATTAAAGATTTTATCACATTCAGAATCTACCTACTTTAGGAAGCACTAGGATGCAATAATGCATAGTCCTTACATATAAAATGGCTTATAAAATGTAGACATAAAATTTACACATTTCTCTCATTTTTTAAAGGACAAGGCAGTCCGGAGAAGTCAAACATCCTGCTCGCCTTACTTTGGAAGATCTTCAGTTGTTTCATCACCAGTTATCTACTCTTGCTTGTGAAATCAAGGAAGCTTACCTTGTCAAGGTTTGTAAAATATACTGTGTAGGAATTTGTCCATTGTATTCGTAACTATTGGATTTATTATATTTTAATTGTAGAATTAACCATTAATTACTGGTACTATAAAACTGAATAAAAATCGTTAAGTGGAGAATTACCTATGTTGTGTGCTACGTTAATTCAAAATATGAGTGGATTTTAAAATTTATTTATCTGAAGCATAACTGTCTCTAATCTGATGCAGCAGATTTGTTGACATTGTCATTTTTTTCATCTTTCCGAATTCAGTGGTAATCTGGCCATTCACCCTTTTCTAACTATCGAATTCAGTGGTAATATTGCAAATCTTGCACCCTTTTCTAACTTGTTTATTGATGAAATTAACTTCCTTTTCTCCATACATCTTTTCAATTCTGGGTGTTTTATTAGTACTTTACCTTAGGTATCAGCTGTCCCAGTTTTTCATCACATCTCCCTGTTTCTAATTTTTAGTCTTAAGGAAAATGTTTTCCAGCAATAAATGAAATTTTTTGAATTAAAGAAACTTTTTGAGTGCAAATTCAAACCCCTTGTAATTTTTAGGATAAATTTTCTTGTTAAATTTTATTTGATCTGTATTGTCTTAATCTATAGTTTACATTTGGAGAATTTATTGTGAAACTGTAGATTCCAATCCTTCACATCCTCTTACTTTCAGAATAATTTTTCCTGTAAATCTTATTCGATGTGTCTTATTCTTAATGTAATGTAGGTATTGGTAGAATTTTTTTTTTATGTACCTTATCAGATAATATGTGTATTAATTTCATTTTACAATAATAAATGTTGCATTACTAAATCTGTCCACAGAATAATATGTACATGGATTAATCATTTTATTTTCATCATGTTTAAAAGCACTTGATGAACAAAAGTATTTTCTTTCCTACTCTGTGGTCCCTTTGTTTATATTTATAAAAAAATTACAAAATAAAATTAGCCTAAGGACATTAAATTTAGAATATCTAATTATATATTCATATATATTGTATCAGAGCAATAATAATGGTTTAATAATTGCACATGATAAAGAGAATTTGGAGTTCTTTTAAAATGGCTTCATCTTGCAGTGCAAAAAATCTCCTGGAAACTTCAGTTTTCCATATTTTTCAGATTTCACAGATATGTTATTCTGCCATTCGTTCCATATAAATTTCTGAATTCCATCTTTGAAAGATCTGTTGACTGAGCTGTCAAGTGCGTATGATATTGAAGCCTATTTGGAAATTCCTGCTGTAAATATTAATTTATCCTTCTTGAACAATTTTTTTGACCCCATCTCTATTTTCCATGCAAAAAATACTCTCATTTTTTTCTCTAAAATATTGTGTGAATATAAAGGTTAGAAAAACATGTGGAAATATGAAAAATATATAAAAGTGCATATGAAAAAGTATAAAAGTGCATTGTTGGTAGTAATTTTACTTTTTCTCTTAACTATTGTCTACCAAGATAATATATATAAGGTGTGTATATATTTCTTGTTTTAAAAATGAAAACCTATTTTAACCATGTGGCTTGATAAGATATTATGGTTAAATGGGGATTGCTAATTAACTACATAATAATGTAATTACTAAAAAAAATTAAAATTTTCTATTAAATAATTAATTTTCTTCTAGGACCTTTTGGATCGAGCTCTTTCATTTGAAGCTGATGCTAAAGACATTTTAAGTGAAGAAGTTGCAGATTCCAAAAAGTTAGAAAAGTATCTTGAATGTGGCATTAATTTAGATATTGACTTAGCGGAAATTCCACAGTTAAAACAGGTATAGTATCCTTTTGTTACCTTTCTTGTACATCTTTTGTAATATTCCTGTATGGTAGATATTTTTATCAGTGCAAAAGTATGAAATATCTCAAAACTTTAAATTAAAGTGATTTTATTTTTACTCTTCATAAATATGTACTTTTTATTTTACTTATCTTTATATAGAAACTGCAGCAGAGTCGGTGGTTAGAAGAAGTGCAGAGCTCTTTGGTTCATCCAGAAATGGTAACATTAGATGTCTTGAGAAAATTATTAGATAAAGGTGTAAGCATACCTCCTCATCCTACTGTAGAAAAAGTAATGGCAGAATTACAGGAATTATTAACTGTTGGTGAAAGATGGGAAGAAAAGGCTAAAGTTTGTTTACAAGCTAGGTAAGTTAATGATTGTTCTTTTAAATATATTATAAAATACACCCAGATATTTTCTTTTTAAAGGCTGCATCTTCATTATTTATAATAGTATTTTAAAATTCTGTAGTGTTATTTTATTCTTAAACAAGTGATGCAGTTAAATAGATATAGATGAGAGCAGTTTGCATAATGAATATTAAAGGTATTTTAGAATTTCTTTAGGAGGCCGCTATTTAATGTACAGTCAAAAGTCATCGGGACTTCGGCGATTCCGGATTATCGATTTTTCCGGATTATAGATCATCAGTTTAAATCTGGTAAAATGGCATGAAGAAATTATAAAATTAAAAACATGAAACCGTAATTTACGAAATGAAGAATTATGATCTAAAGTGTATCAAAATTTACAAAAAAAAAAAAAAAAAAAAGAGCTTAATATTTATTTGTTTACTTTATTAAACATTTCTTTCAATGTAAGTTGCTTCATTTTTTGTGTGATAATACATTCTCTTTAATTCTATAAACATGCATAATTTCTTGTTCAGTTACAAAGTTCCGCTGTTCAAGTCCTATAATTGCTGTGTCGAGAATACCGACTAATTTGTCAATCGAAATTTTTTCGTTTTCAATAACCTCTGTCACTTTCTTCGCTATCGGAAGCGAATTATAATGACGAGGCATTTGATTTAAATTATATCAAAGACGGAGTATATCGAAATGAAATACTACATTTAGTAAGCAATTATAAGCCAAATAAAATAAAAACATCTGCCCTGAAGATAAGGATAGTGCTGACAGATCAACTTCCAATTCATTGTGCGCAGCGTTTAAGATAAACAAAGTTTAGATAAACAAACATTAAAGTTTAGACAAACAAAGGATATGCCTTAATCCATTTTTTGCAGCAATTCCACTTTTTGTTTAATGGACTCCGAAACATACTTTCGCTTTGTAGATCTGTTACATATTAGTAAATATAAATCGGAAACTCTATTTGACATAATCGAAAGTTCAAGCTTACTTTTATAAAATTGCTCTAACAGTCTGCAAAAAATAATAAGCCGGATCCAGTTCGAAGATTAAGGAACAACACAATCTGCAACATTAACTGGACTAGATAATTAGAGCTTAGCTTATACCGTCGATTATACATTAAACGCGCATTCGTAAACGTATTTTGCGCACGTGCACACGCATATTCGCAGCCGTAAAGGTCTTACGCGCATGCGTCAACGCGACGCAAGCGCAGAAAGTTTGTAGCTTTGAGGTCCGGATTATGGGTGTCCGAATTAACGACTTTTGACTGTATACTGATGCTATAACTTATCTTTATGTTCAAAAAAGTGTTTCATGAAGTAGCCAGTTAGTCTAACATATTTTATCATGAACTGAGCAAAAGACAAACCTGATGCAATTTAATCAATTTGTTTTTAAATGCAAAGAGTTGCATAACATCTTCTAAATTTAAGACAGGAGCTTTGCACGAAGTATATTTTCTCAAAATCCTCTGCGATTCAGAATTTGATTCCAGTTCATTTGTGAGTCATTTGAGTCAAAGCTGTTCATTTGAATGACACCAAAGAATCATCTAGAAGAATCTGTAATGCAGAAAGCTTTTGACCATTCAGAAGCAGAATAAGTAACAGTAAGTGGGTGGATGTTTGAAGATAGATAGTCTGTGCCCACTGAAAATACAGACACTGTTCTTGGGATGGGGAGATAAATTCATGTAAGGAAAACAGCTGCTTCATGAGGTAATTTTTTTGCCATGGAAACTTTATTGCTAGCTCTTCAGTGGCAGTTACCTTCAGGGTTGCCACGCTGCCTGAAAAACCGGAAGAAGTCAGTGAATTCAAAAACTGACCAAAAAAGTCGGGGAATTTCATACAGTGATCCCTAAAACAAGTTTTGTGCCAACTTTGGAAGTGATCACTTTCTTGGCAAATTACGGATTGCGTGAGCATCATTCATACAGCTGGCATAGAGCCAATTTTCGCAGTTCTGGTCAGTTTGTCTTTTAGAAAGGCAAAGCACGTTTCCAGCAACTTTGGTTTCCAGTAACCTCAAAAATCGAGACACTCGCATGTGCAGTGCATGTTGAAATAAAGAAAATACCTTCCCATTGTCGTACAAAACAAAATCAGTTTACCATAGTACATGGTACACACAGAATTTAGTGACATTATGATGAATAGTAAACAGGTCATTTTGATGTTCCCGACAATTTTCAAAATTGTGCGAAGGTTGTAGCGTATACTAGGATTTTATCGCAAAATCTTTACCTTTCCCCTTTCTCTTTTTAATAAATGCCTTATTTTTCATTTTGCAGTAAAATTTAAAAAAAAATGGTAATCAGTCATCTAGGCTAACCATTTTATATAACTATATTCGCTAAAGTATCGTTGATTATCGTAATTCAATTTTTAAGGAATTTATTTTAATGTTATTCATATCGTTTAATGTGGTTTCTTCTCTCAAAATATATTTATTATTAGTTAATAATACTTTCAAATTTCAGGCAATTTTCTCTGGCATAATCCTGAAACTAATTCTAGCAGTATGATGACATACTATCATGAAATTAAATGCACATATTTTTTTTGCTTATGTATGCTTCTAAATAAATATAAAATACCTGAATTTATTTAAAAATATTATTAAATATATTTCTTTCTTTCATGTAGCTGCAAAATGTCTGCAAAAGATTTTTTTTTTTTTTTTTTTTTCCTCTAAATTGAGATTGGGCAGATTCTAATCTCAGTCTTCAGGGGGGGGAAAACAACTCCTATTATAGTTGTAATATATTGGGATTATATGTTATATATATATATATAAGATAAAATTATGAATGCAAACTTCTAATTTTAAATGGCTATAACCTCTTTTATTTTATATTTAATTTGGAGATTTCCTCTCTCTGTCTTAAAAATAGCACTATAAGTCTAAACTGCGTCATTCAAATTAATCGTGATCCTATGTAATGCTTAATGCAGAAATCTCTTATCCAATCAAAATAATTGGTAACCCAAAACTTTTCTAAACTCAGAACTGAAACCTTTGGCTCCATCCCTTCTTCCTTTGAATTACGGCGTCCACTTTTGCTAGTGCTTTTCTCCTGGCTTGATGCTTTGCTGCAATCATGTGTTCGTTTCTATTCCAATAGTATCAAAAAATGTTCTGGAAATAGGCACGATTGGAGTGCCAAGTGAATTGTGGCCGCAAATGAGAATTTAAATAAAAGAAAAAGGAATTTAATCTCTGGCTTGACTACTTCTTCTTCAAAATGGATGGACGCTCTAAGCATCAAGTATCTTCGCAATCAGCATTTCTACGCATCTACATCTCATTCGTTCTTAATCTGTGCTTCCAAAATTATGCTATATCATATGTAATTAGCAAATTTTTGTACTTTCAAGAGGTGCATAATTAATTTACCTCTCAGCACAGCCAATGCGCACTACGTGGATAGACTGGAATTTTCTTAAAACACACCTGGAAAAGTTGGAATTTCATTCTCCTGTTTGAGTGGCAACCCTTTACCATGGAGTTTTTTTATCACAGCAGTATATATGGAAGACTTGATAAGGAAGTATTAAAAGGCAGAAAGGCGGCGGTTTATATTTCATTAATAGCAAAGTAGAAACTTTACGAGTTGGTGCAAAGAACATAATAACCGAAATTGGAATGCAACCGAAGTGTGTGTGTGTGGGGGGGGCATCAATTTGATAACTACCAATCAAAACTTCAGTTATTTTTAATGTGAGGAACATGAAATAATCCAATTGTCATCTGGAAATATGATTGTAACCATGCACAGATATAATTTTATGGGTAAAAATAATGATTAGTGGACATACTTCCCTGAACATGTTCAACAAATGATCTGCATTTAACCAGAGAACCAAGATGAAGTTTCATAATCCTACGACTTTCTTTTTGTGAACGATAATATGTATTCAGACAAAAAATAACTTTATATTTTTAATTCAATAATTTAATTATAAAATTTCCTATTTTTTTAATATATGGATTTAAACATTGCAGATGCCTCCAAGCTTCATGTACTTTATACGTATACCAAATTTAGATCAGAAAATAATAAATGTGAAATTTATTTCAGGCCTAAACATACCCTTTCTGTGTTAGAATCTGTTCTTAAAGAGGCTGTAAATATTTCTGTTCACCTTCCAAATGTCTTGCAATTAACTGAGGCTGTCAAGAAAGCAAAAGATTGGATATCTAAAGTTCAGGCTGTACAGGTATTTTATTTTCAGATTAATATTACATAGGAAAAAAAACTATTTTTGGTTTTCTGTTTAAAGAATAAAACTACTTTTTCCCTTTAGAATGGCATTCATAATCCATATCTTGAAGTTTTGGAATTCTTGGTTGCAAAAGGTAGGCCAATACCTGTTAGATTGGAACAACTGTTTCAAATTGAAGGTCAAGTAGAGGCAGCTAAAGCATGGAGGGAGAAGACTGCACGTACATTTTTGAAGAAAAATTCATCATACACTCTACTTGAGGTAGTGTTCCTTTACTATTTAAAAAGGGGAGGTCACTTACAGTCACTCCTAAAACAAATGTTATAAGTTTTTGTTTCAAATTTATGACAACATATGATTTTATTATTATTTTCTAGAATGCTAATTTTTATTTTTAAATTTAAAAACATAAACTTGATATAATGTATTAATTTTTGTGATAATAAACAACTGACCAGTATTTTATTTTATAAAATGAAGTTTGGAAAAACATGATATTTTTAAAGTTTAATGCTTTCTTTACTTGCATTGTGACATTTCAGAAGTGCCAAAAATTGTATCTCATTAGTTATCTCACAAGTGATAAGAATTTAAATAGTTTAATTTGTACAAGGCTCTTTCATTGTGACATTTCAGAAATGCCAAAAATTATATCTCTTTAGTTATCTCACAAGTGATAAGAATTTAAATAGTTTAATTTGTGCAAGGCTCAAAATTGCAAAAATGATATTTGAAATTTTCAATTTAAAAAGATTTTTAAAAATTTTCATAAAGACATTTTTTACCTATATTCTAATTATGAAATGTATATAAAATTTTCTGGATAATATTAATTTATAAACAATAGTTCAATGTATTTGTTTAAAATTAAAACTTGATGATCTTTCCGTTTAAGACTTCTATCTCCATTTTATGTTGTTTATATATGAATGTATATACAGAATAATGAATAGATAAAATTTAGAATTCAGAATATTCATTTTTATTACTGTGCTGTTATGTATGTTCCTCACAGTTTTAGGAAACCTTTTGTTCAAAAGCTAATGAAGCCATAAATAAAAATAGTGACATACTAAAGCTGTGAACCTTCACAAGAGATTTTTACACTTTTCCCCTTTTTATCAGGTTTTGTCACCTCGTAAAGACATAGGCGTACCCCCAGCTGCAAAAAATAAAAAGAAGAAATTGAAAGAAAATGAAGATAGTCTTTCAGATGATACAGCATGCCTAGATATGAAGTTTGAAGAAGCAAAAGATCCTGCAACCATTGTAAGTTAATTTATGATGAATTTTTAATGATTAAAAACAATTTATTAACTGGTAAATATCCATTGTATCTTTATTAGCTGAGCTGTAATTGTTTTTTTCCTATTTAGTCTAATTTTGTTTACTACAGGTGTTCAATTTTTCTTTTTCTTTCTTTAATTGTTATTATGAAAGCTATTTTATCATGGGCCTGTTTAAAACGTACTATGCTGCACTTTATACTGACATGTATTAAATACAATCGGATCTAGAAATGTGTTTTGGTATTTAATTAAGTAAGAGAGTTTTTAGATATTATTTTTAGATATTAGCTGCTTTTTCCCCAAAACAAAATAGAATATATTGTGCAGTTTTTGTCTTTTCTGGGAAAGATTTATTCAATAAGATTGAAGTCATGTGTAAACTGAATGAAAATAGTAGTAGAACATCTTCTGGAAAGGAAGGTTAGCATAGTTAGATGCATTTTACTGAGCTTTTTGATAAGAATAGGCTGCTGAGTAAGTGCATGTGCTAAAACTGATGTGCAGATTTACCAGATAGGCCTTTTTTAAACCGAATACCGGAAATTTACATTTTTACAGTATATTTAGCATCAAATAATGTATTTGGCTGCTTTCTGTGAATTAGCAATTAGTTTTGAGTTGGTAGTAAATTTCCTGTAATTACTATAATATCTAGGGCAGCTGTCTGTAATTTAACTGCTCATTCTTGGCAGGTACCGAGTTACTGCTTGTAAATCATCCATTTTATTGTATGTGTTAACCAATTTTCCCTTTTTAAAACTTAATTATACTGTTTTCCATACTGTTAAAATCTGTGTGTGTCTGTGGGTTTGTGGCATTATCTCCTCCGGAATGGTGGGGTGTTAAGTTTCAAGAGAGGTACCCCGACATTCCAAAAATTCGTGGGAAGCCATTTCGACCATTCTCTTCTCCATATGACTTTAATCAGCCAAGCTATTGATTAAAAACTCTGAAAACATTAATTTCCACCTTCATTTTTCCTAGTGGCAACAGTCTCGCATGCTGTAGATAAAATTTCTGCTTTATTTTGAAAAGTGTTGCCTCCGTTTGCTTTCAAATCATAGAGTTTAATGAAAAATTTTAAGTTTAAAAAAATATGAAATAAAAATAGCATTGCCAAACATTAAATATATTATTATTATTATATAAGGTCATGTTCTGACATTGAAAAAAAGCATGAGATTTCATGTGATGCCATTTATACTTTATATTTTCATGTGATGTAAATAGCTGCTGTTGGCAACTTTTTCGTTTTAGTTTAAGATTATTGACGTAGTATGTTATTGCCAAGTTAATTCTTTTATTGATATTGAGATAAAGTTGCTATATTACATTAAATTTAAATCATGATGTTATATTACATTAAATTTAAATCATGATGTTATATTACATTAAATTTAAATCATATACAGTCAAAAGTCGTCAATTCGAACACCCATAATCCAGACCTCAAAGCTGCAAACTTTCTGCGCTTGCGTCGCGTTGACGCATGCGCGTAAGACCTTTACGGCTGCGAATATGCGTGTGCGCAAAATACGTTTACGAATGCACGTTTAATGTATAATGGACGGTATAAGATAAGCTAAAATTATCTAATTCAGTTAATGTTGCAGATTACGTTGTTCCTTAATCTTCGAATTGGACACGGCTTATTATTTTTTGCAGACTGTTAGAGCAATTTTACAAAAGTAAGCTTGAACTTTCGATTATGTCAAATAGAATTTCTGATATATATTTACTAATACGTAAAGGATCTACAAAGCGAAAGTATGTTTTGAAGTCCATTAAACAAAAAGTGGATAAAGGCATATCCTTTGTTTATCTTAAACGCTGCGGCGGGCACACAATATATTGGAAGTTGATCTGTCAGCACTATCCTTATCTTCAGGGCAGATGTTTTTATTTTATTTGGCTTATAATTCCTTACTAAATGTAGTATTTCATCTCGATGTACTCTGTCTTTGATATGATTTAAATAAAATTCCTCGTCATTATAATTCGCTTCCGATAGCGAAGAAAGTGACAGAGGTTATTGAAAACGAAAAAATTTCGATTGACAAATTAGTCGGTATTCTCGACGCAGCAATTATAGGACTTGAACAGCGGAACTTTGTACGAGGCGTATTCGGAAACTAAGTACCGTTTTGAAAAAAAAAATAGTAAAACAATTTTTTGGAATCCAATTTTATTTTTACATGAAAATACATGTCTTAAACTATTTTTCAACATAGTTTCTGCCAATGATCAACCACTTTTCATAGCGGGTGACCAGTTTATGTATACCATTGTCAAAGAAACTTCCCGCCAGTTTCGATAACCACGACTCCACAGCATTTTTCCTGCATTCGTCAAATCCAAAGCGCTTGCCATCAAGCTTGCGCTTCATATCCAGGAACAAGTGATAGTCGGACGGCGCCAAGTCCGGGCTGTACGGCGGGTGATCGAACTGCTCCCAGTGAAATTGTCGAATTGACGATTGAGTGACACCAGCAGTATGGGGCCGAGCATTGTCATGGAGCAACACAATTCCTTTACTGAGCATTCCTCTTCGTTTGTTTTAAATGGCACGCCTTAGTTTTGTTAAAGTCTCACAATATCGTGCCGCACGAATGATTACACACCTCTGGGAAGAAATTCAGTAAGCAAAACTCCTTTCCTATCCCAGAAGACAGTGCACATGATTTTTTGTGATGACATTGTCACTTTGAACTTTTGTTTTTTTCGGAGAATGAGTGTGTCTCCACTCCATCGATTGTTGTTTCGATTCTGGTGTGAAATGACACACCCAAGTTTCATCACCTGTCACAATTTGGTTTAAAATGTTTTCTCCCTCATCACTGTACCGCGTGAGAAATGTCAGGGCACTACCAAGTCGCTTTGTTTTGTGAACATCAGTGAGCATTTTTGGAACCCATCGGGAACACAGTTTGCGATAATTCAAGCAGTCAGTCACAATTTCGAACAAAACAGTACGTGAAATTTGTGGAAATGCTTCTGAAAGAGTTGTCATTGGGAAGCGTCTGTTCTCATGAATTGCTTCTTCAACTGTCCTTACCAAATCATCGGTGACAACAGAAGGCCGACCACTCCGAGCCTCGACGTGGACATTTGTTCTACCTGCATTAAACATTCTTACCCACTTTCTCACCATTTCATCACTTATCGCATATTCACCATAAACTTCTGTCACTTGACGATAAATTTCGGCCGGTTTAACATTCCTCGCATTCAAAAATTTAATCACGGCACGAATCTCACAGTCAGCGGGAGAACAAATTGTCTTAAACATTTTGAATGTGCACAGCAAACTGAAAACACAACATAGAGCAACCAAAATGACGACAATTGAAAGTCAGTGAACAAGAAAGACTAGTGCGCATGCGCGGGACGCCTACCACAGCGCTGCGACAGCGCTAGAATGAAACGGTACTTAGTTTCCGAATACGCTACGTAACTGAACAAGAAATTATGTCTGTTTATAGAATTAAAGAGAAAGTATTATCACATAAAATGAAGCAACTTAAACAACTTACATTGAAAGAAATGTTTAATAAAGTAAACAAGTAAATATTAAGCTTTTTTTTTTTTTTTTTGTAAATTTTGATACCCTTTAGATCATAATTGTTCTTTATTTCATAAATTACGGTTTCATATTTTTAATTTTATAATTTCTGCATGCCATCTTACCAGATTTAAACTTATGATCTATAATCCGGAAGTCCCGACGAGTCCGGATTAAAGACTTTTGATTGTACATATTAACCTGAAGTGTCCGAAGTTTTTGTTCCTGGTTTTGCAACCCAAAAAAAAAGTATTTATGAATTGGTTGTTGCTTCATTCATATTGAAATGTTTTTATGCTGCTTTTCAAGTATACATAGAACTCATAAATTTTGCTTTGGCAGCAGCTAGCAACGTTGTGTACAGTACATTAAATTAACAGTTCATTTTATTTTCACGTTTTCAGTCTCACTCATGTGGTGGGTTTGCTTGCTAGTGTGATACTAAATTTCATGATAGTCTGTATTTATTTTAGTTACTTTTAAGACAAATTTTACTACCAAAACTCATTGTGATTTACAGATTTGGATTTTGAAAAACGAAGTATCATTATCATGACATCATTAAAATGTCTATTATTTTAGAAAAATAATGTCGAAATAATTTTTTTTTCATACTTTATTTTTAAAATGTCTTTAAGTGTTTGGTGATTTTCAACTATCTTTGTAGTCAGACTTAAAGATAATGTTGTTTATTTGTTTTTAGTATCCAACCTGAAAGTTGGTGATGATTATGCCAGTCATTTCAGTGGAATTTTAAAGGCACAAATGGCTTTTTAAGTAAAATGATTGGAGATTTCTCTTTATTTAATAACATAATCAACAAATTTCAGATACAGTATGTAAAAAAAACTTAAGCTTTGTAATTTTCAAACTACCAAATTCATTAAAATTTGCACCAATAATTCTGACAGATTGGCATTTAAAATAGCAGCAAAATAGTCATCTTGTTTGTAAACTCAGCACCACTGAAATTCACTCAAGTATAAATCTAACTGAAACTGTGAGGTTACACAGTGGTTTTATTATACATTTTGTAACTGCTTGCTGTTATGTAGAAAGCAGGTAGCAAATTTTAATAATTTCTTTCAGAATGCAAGAGAAAAACAGTGAGAGATACCAGTTATATTAAATCTATTTTCCCAAAAATATAAATGACTCTTGATGAATTAAAATAAAAGGAAGAACTTATAAGTATGGTGTTATGCACACTTATCCATTATTGGCACTAAATCGTTTTTAATCAAGATATTATATGTTAAAATAAGCTTTTGTAGCTTTTACTTTTTTTGTAGGCGATCATATTGTGTAACTAATTTTTCAGGAATGTTTAAATTTATGGCCATTTTCTTTGTAAAATTCACTTACAACCCCTTTGGAAAAAAAGTCCAAAAACCTGATTTTTACTCTCATGAATTTGGCACCTGTGAAATGGCTTTTTAGAATTTTCACTGTGATTATAACGGGAAACAAATATATTGAAATTTATATTTTTAAACGTTTAATATTTTTAATGTGGTATATGTATGCATGATAAACAATGTATTTACAATATTCATTTTTATGTTTTGTTTGAAAGGTTGCCAATTTCAAAGAAGCAGAAAGAAGAGAGCATGAAGCCATGCTTCAGCTTCGTTTGAAGAACATCAGGAAACGAGCTGAAGATAGCCCTGATGCTCGATATTGCATTTGTCATAAGCCATCAAATAATAGCATGCTTCAGTGCGAATTGTGCAAAGATTGGTTCCATGGTAATGTAGTTTCATTCTGTTAACCCTTAACTGCTGTGGGCATATATATACACCTTGCTCAGCTGATGCGTTAATTGCCCCAGGCATATATATATGCCCTTCCAAAATACTATCATTTGCTTTGTGCTGCTACCTGAGAGAGGGATGTGTCTAAAGTGGTGAAAAGTAATGACCGTGCGGTATTTGGCTGGTGTTGTTTGAGTAAAACTTTTTTATTATTATTATTCTGTGTCCTCCATTTTCGTTTACTTTTTTAGTAGGTTCTAGGAATAAAGAAAGATATAACAGATGTTTCAAACCCATTTATCTTTTTTGAATTATTTTTTGATGAACTGCTCGTGCTTCATATTGTTACTGAAACTAAAGGTCAGTTTACACCTGTCAGAGTGGCTAGGAGCGAGTCGCTCATTAGGATTACTTTGACAATGTAAACGCTCACTTTGACAGAGTAGAAACGTAGGGGAGATGAGTCAGCGCTTCCGTTTCTACTTTGAACCTGTTGAAAAGTCTATCCGGGCAGTTACTCCGAGCAGCGTTCGCAGGGACGTCGTGACAGTGAGTTCTATAATGCCGAGATTAAGCGATAGCCAAACCATTGCATTTTTTAATGCATACGCATCTTATGAATTGTTTTAGGGAACACTTCACTGCTTCATTAAGATGTTGCATACTTCTATAATTATGTGAGCTTATATTAATTTTTTACAAGCATCCCTACATGAGGATGCAATAAATATATGATATTATAAACTATAAAAATAAAAATGGAATTATGGAAAATATGTAGATCTGTTTTTATTAGGGATATTTAAATTTCTTACTTTGTATAAAAACATTCTGGGCTATAATTTGTTACAATTCAACTTGGATATGAAACATGTTCAGCTTTGGATGTGTGAGTGCAAGTACTGAAGGTGTATTAAGGTTTATACAAATTATGCTATATGAATTCTAATCTTCTTAAACTATCCGTTTTAGCATTTTAAAAGTAAAGTTTAATCACTATATTTAACCATTATTAATTTTGTTGATATCATTTTGTGTGTTGTCCAGAAATACAATTTCAGTAGGATCCAAAAGTAACATTTTGCAATAAATATCTTCCTGTTGGAACTATGTCATAATATATATATTCTTTTAACTGTGGTAATATATGTAATGCTCCCCCAAGTTTTTTGTTACTTCTTATTTATGTAAGATTTTCTGAATAATTATGTAGATACTATACAGTTTACTTCTGTCGTGTTAATGGTAGCTTTGAATAAATATTCCATGTGTTAATTTTGCATTCTTCTCTAGAAATAACACAGTTCCAGTCAGAACTCTGCATAATTAATTACATGCACAGAGAGCTACTGATTCTGTGGATTCTGGATGAATAAATATATTATTTCTATTAATAAATAAGAAAACACATTATTACTTTTACATTATTTTGTAAATGATGAATTAGGTATAAATAAACAGTTGTATATAGTAGAAAAACTGTTAATTTGAATTTCAATGACCACAGTTGACTAAATAACTTCTCTCAAACTGAGTTTCTTTTAAATTCTTGTATCTGATATGCAATAACATTTTTGTAACTTTGGACATTCTCATCCGAAATTCATTTAATAGTTCATTTGCTACTCCTAATTCATCGCGGCAAGCTACCCAGCCACATACCCATTTCCTTTTCTTCTTTTCCCTCCCAAGAGCAGAAATTAATTCATTTGAAACTGCTTCGCAGACTTCAAGTACTCCAGCCAAAGAACATCTATGTATGTTCAATAGTTATTCTTTCCTGCAGCTGCCATGTCGGTATCCATTTCATAAACAAACTTAAACGAGTTGTCAGTCCACTCTGATTGGTGTAAACAATCTATCAGAGTACAGGTCCGTTCACTCGATTCGAAACGCCCGGACAAGCAGCTCGCTACGAGCTGCTCTGACAGATGTAAACTGGCCTTAACCATTTTGTAGATGAGTATATGAACCAACAGCTTGTAGCCAAATCAAGAACAAAATTGTGGCATTCAACCAGTTCAGAAGAAATAAAGTACAAAGTCTTTAATCCGGACTCGTCGGGATTTCGGCCCTTCCAGATTAGGGGTTTTTCTGGATTATAGATCATCAATTTAAATCTTGTAAGATGGCATGCAGAAATTATACAATTAAAAATATGAAACCGTAATTTACGAAATAAAGAGCAATTATGATCTAAAGGGTATCAAAATTTACAAAAAAAAAAAAATAATTATTATTATTTGTTTACTTTATTAAACATTTCTTTCAATGTAAGTTGTTTAAGTTGCTTCTTTTTTTGTGCTAATACTTTCTCTTTAATTCTATAAACAAACATAATTTCTTGTTCAGTTATAAAGTTTCGCTAGTCAAGTCCTGTAATTGCTGTGCCGAGAATACTGATTAACTTGTCAATCGAAATTTTTTCATTTTCACTAACCTCTTTGTCACTTTCTCCATGCCTTTATCCTTTTTTTTTTTTTTTTTTTCCCCGCTTTCGCTTTGTAGACCCTTTGGCAGCTCCAGAATTGGAAACTCTTTTTGACATAATCGAAAGTTCAAGCTTACTTTTTATAAAATTGCTCTAACAGTCTGCAAAAAATAATAAGTTGGATCCAGTTAGAAGATTAAGGAACAATGCAATCTGCAACATTAACTGAAATAGATAATTAGATAATTTTAGCCTAGCTTATACTGTCCGTTATACATTAAACGCGCATGCATGCGTAAATAATACACATGCGCAGAAAGTTTGTAGCTTTGAGGTCCGGATTATGGACGTCTGGATGAAAGACTTTGTACTGTATATGTTTTTATAGGTATACTGATTTCACAAGATATAACACTGAAACCTGATTATACACTTTACTGGTCTAAAAAAAAAAAAAATTGATCGAAACTCCATTTTAGGGATCTTTTTTATTATAAAAAAAATAATTTTTATTATAATTACATCTTTTTATTATACTTTTACTCTAAACATTAAATTTTGTGCATTCATTTTTTCTTTTATTCTTTATTTTGTGAAAGTAAACATCTTCCTTGCAAGTCGACTCCATTCAGTCTGTTCCCTCACGTACAGTTTCCTTCAGAAGCTTTAGGTATCCCTGTATTCTTAAAGCTGTCCATTATAATTTTTCATCAATCAGAACTTATGTACTCAAAATTCTCAAGGTAATCAATTAGTAAGACCGAAAGCAATCACTATGTGGATGATTCCATTTTAAAATGTAGGGAAGCTCACTTTTCAAATACCTTGGAAAAAGGGGAAAATTATGAAAAATTTTCAAAACTTTTTTGAATCTTTTGTTAAAAACTGAGGGAAAATAGAGTCAAGTAAATAAGTAAAACTTGCACTTATTTTTCCCCTAATAAGTCGCATACCTACGCACAGCTATGTGAAAAACCATGGCACTGGGAAATGAATCTTGTTTCCGTGCCAGTTAAGGGGTTAAAATCAGTATACCCAAGTCTTAGGGTTTGCTTTTTAGGTGCTGAATACCATAAATTTAAGTATTGCAAAATAATGGAAACAAAAGTGGAAAAGAATATAATGATTGTAATTGTCAGTTTTTCTTTAAACTGGTTTTGAAAAAAACTATTCCTGTAAAATGTTTTCTTAAATTGTGTGTTGAAAACATTATGTAGTTGAAGTAGATTTTAAATCAGCACTGAAAAAAGAGAAATCACTTGATTGCAAAACTTATAATTAAAATGCATTGGAGAAGAATCTTCCTTATTATGTTGCATAAATTTTCATATGCAAAGCTTTTCCAAAATTAAGCACTGAATTCTGAAAATATTCGTTGTATTGTGCTAATAATTACCATTGTATTATGTTAGTTTTTATTTTTCTGTCATTTGCTGACATTTCTTAATTTCATCTTACAGTTAATTGTGTTCCTTTACCAAAATCTGCTGCTCTAAAGAAGCAACAACAAGCAGGACTTTCATCTTCAGCTTTGGCCCAATTAGCTAAAGAAGTTAAATTTTTGTGTCCTTTGTGTTTAAGATCTCGCCGGCCAAGACTAGAAACAATATTGTCTCTACTAGTGTCTCTGCAAAAGTTACCTGTTAGATTGCCTGAAGGAGAAGCGTTACAATGCCTTACTGAAAGAGGCATGTCTTGGCAAGTAAGTATTTGACTTGTAAATTTTATTTATCAGATTTCAAATAATTTTTTTAGTACATAAAGGAACTTAAAAGTGTTTTTAATCCTCTGTCTATTTATTATATCATTTTGTTTGTTGGATTAAGATGTTTCCAATCTCCAAAGTTTGCAAATATACTTTTATATGGAGAGAATGCTAAAAAAGTGATTTCAGTATAAAAGTTGAAAAAATTGCTGATGATCTAAAATGTCATATTATCCGACACAATTGGGACTGAAATGTGGTTGGATAACTTGTAATGTTATATATAGTATTTACTCTTGCGTTCCCCCCCTCTTTGTTTAACTAATTTACTGTGCAAAAATCAAGAGGGGAAGATTATACAAGTAATTTAATATTTTAAACATTCTTATTATATAATTATGTGGTTACAATAAGAACATAACAAATTATAAGTCTTTGTGGATAGATTAACAGTAACTGTTACAGCATTATTTATTTTAGACAAAAATTCATTATTATTTATTCATTATTCATTATTATTAGACAAATATTAACATTATCAGTATCTAATAAGATATTTTCATTTCTGCTTCCTTTATCTTGAATCTTGCGTGGTATTATTGTTGTCTATTGCTATTTCCTAATCCTCTTGTAATTTTGCTGAAATTGATATTTTTGTAATGCGCTACAGCTTGCAAGTCGACTCCATTCAATCTGTTCCCTCACATAAAGTTTTCTTCAGAACTAGCACTGAGCTTTACATATCTCTGTCTTCTTAAAGCTGTCCATTATAATTTTTCATCGATCAGAACTTATGCAGTCAAAATTCACAAAGTAATCAATTAGTAAGTCCGAAAGCAATCACTATGTGGATGATTCCATTTTAAAATGTAGAAAAACTCACTTTCCAAATACTTTGGGAAAAAGGGGAAAATTATGCAAATTTTTCAAAACTTTTTAGAATCTTATGTTAAAAACTGAGGGAAAATAGAGTCAAGTAAATATAATAATACAGAACACTTACAAATCAGTAATTAAAATGTATTACGGGAGCAAAATACATTTTAATATGCATGGCACAATTGTTTAACGTTGAAATCAAAACATAAATTTAGTAGGGCATTCAAATATAACTTAGTTTACTGATTTTTAATTTTTTTTCCTACAAATAATTTGACACAGTGAGCTTGATATTCCTGCTGTCATGGGCTGCTTGTAGTGCTTGATGTGAGAGAAAGTCATCATGTATGTGTCTGTAGAAATTATGAAAAACAAAAGTGCCTTGTTCTGTTAAACCAAAGATTGTAATTAAGGTTTTGTCAGTGAAGAGATATCAGACTCTGATTTTGACTAGACTGAGGTAATATGGGAGGGGGAATGTATGTTACATACAGGTATGTGGAATAGATCTCTTCTATTATCAGAAATTGTATGTATGCATTATATATGTACGTATGTATGTGTGTATATACACAACATGCATATATATGCACATACAATTCTGAATCTGAATAACAGAAGAGGCCTTATCTACTAGTTAGTCCAGATTTAGCCACCAGTATTCCCCAGTGTCATCAAAATGGCTCAAGAGAGAACATATGGCTATACATATACCTTTGAAGATGAGAAAAAAGTTTCCAAACATTGTGGAAGATGCTCTGCAGCACAGGTGGATTACCTTTACATGCATTGTGTATCTTACCATTCCATTTGCTTGAGTCATTAAAATTGTTTCATTAGCAAGTTAAAATCGATATTCTGCATAAAAGTTATACGATGAGGTAATGTATGATTTCTGTACCTATAACATGTATCTTACAAATCTGTAAATAAAGAAATGTATTGTGATGGAAATAATGTTCTGTTTATGTAATTGAAGTAAAATATGATTTAAATTTTTTACAAAAATGCCTAAACTTGTTTCATGATCCAAGATAAACTGCATTATAGTAAAGCTTATTCTGAGAGCTGTGATTTATTTGAAAGCAGTATAGGAAATAAATAGTGAATGATATACTTAGTGCATTAAAAAGAATAATTGAAGATCTGATAACAGACTACTTTTGTTTTTATCATCTTTGTACGTGCATTTTGTATACGTATACATTTTGTAAGATCTTCCTACCCATCTATACAGGCAGACAACTAAATTTTTGATAACATTATTAAATGTCTGTTGTCCAAATTTTGGGATAAGTGTTATTTCTGTATTAATAATTCTGTTTTGTAAATTTATATCAATATCATAATTAGATTACATGTTTGAAAGTTTCTGTGAGAAGCATCTGCATTTAGAGGATTAAGTTAATGTGAATAAAAGACATTTTTTCCTATTTTAATTGATAATACTTCTATTTATAATACTTACTGTGCTTAAATTTTGAGATAAATTATTGCAAAATATCAAGAAAGTTCTGTGATTAAAAAAATTAAAACTAAAAGTATTTGGGAATTGATAATGTAACAATGTTTTTAAAAGTATTAATTGTCACTAAAATAAGGTATGGAGCAAGTATTAAGCAAGTTATTAGAAGGTCTTGAGTTATTTTAAATTTCTTTTTTAATTTAAGAATAAAATTTGACATATTTGAAATTATTTTTCATTATAAATTTCTTCCTGCTCATAAATTAGTAACTTAATATGGAGGAACAAAATTCACAATTGTCTCTACTTTAAATAAAAACAAAAATTTTATTTTTATTTATTCAAAGTATTTTATTATTTAATACTGTATTTTAAGAACTTGAATTCAAAATTATTTGTATTTTTTTAAATATATAATTGCAATATTGAATGTACTATATAAGTAGTCTAGAATAATATATTTTTATAAGAAATTTGCATTTTGTATTTAAACTGAAAAGATTATATTATTGTACTGAAAAAAAGTCTAGTGTTAATAGTTTTATCATCACTGGAGGGAAAAAAAATGTTGATAAATTAAAGTTTAATGTTTGTCAGGACCGAGCTCGACAGTCATTGGCTACTGAAGAATTAGCTGCTGCATTAGCAAAATTGTCTGTTATATCACAACGTATGGTAGAACAAGCTGCTCGAGAGAAAACTGAAAAGATTATTACAACTGAACTTAGGAAAGCAGCCACAAATCCTGAATTGAAGCCTCATCTCCAAAATGTAGCTCACACTGCCTTCAGTGGGTTGCATGCTCGAGTGGGTGAAGATTCAAAATCTGAAGATCTTCCAAAATGTAAATATAATTTTCTACTTCTTTAGTATTTTTGAATAACTTAAATGTAATTTATTGACTTCAATTGATTTTCTTACAGTGATACAATCAGTATTTTTTCAGCATTTTTGCCTAAACCATCATTTAAGTGTTGATTTTTGTATTACTAGTTTGATTAATAATGGTTGTATAATTAATATGCAAAATCATCATTAATATGCAAAATCAGTGCTTCTTGGTTTTTATCTAGTTGTTAGATAAAAACCGAGAAGCACTGAGTTTGCATATTAATGATGTTATTTTAAATTAATAATACAAACAAATAAAACATTTGTCTACTATTATATATTTTTAGTTTGTTTGGCATACAGATTTAAATTTTAATATTGAGTGATGTGATATTTGCATTGATTTCAATATTTTTGAATGTTATAGAACAAAAACATGTTAAGAATCTGTATTTTAAAATTTCATTATTTTTGTCATTATTTATGTTTATTTCATACTGTGATGCTTTGCTATATATTTTCTATAGCATGCTGGAGAATGATTTTCCTGATTAATAAATTTAATCTTGAGTCAATCCTTAAATTATCAACTTTGATCAAACATAATTATGAATTTCAGTGTTAGGATCATAATTTTCTGAATCACTGTAAAACCCCATTTCCATTAGTGCGTTGTGAACACGTGGCATCATTGGGAGAAACGCATATGCAGACAGATGACCATTTACACTATTGCATTAGATTTACACATACGGAAATTCGATGGTCAATTGCATTCGCTGTCACCAGATATCTCTGTATTTAACTTACGGGATTTGGACTCTACAGATACTTAAATTCGATGTTATTGGAAATTTTTATTTCTGCTTATGAACTGTGAAAGTAAAACACATTAGTAATTTTTAGATAAGTAAGATTATAATGCACATTATGAACACATCTAATTACATAGAAGCTGAAGTAATTTTTTAAAATTTCTTTGCATTTCTAGAAACCTTAAATATTTATTAAATCATATGTAATTAAAACTAAAATGTACTGTTAGTGCAAAACAAGTAAAAAAGTTCAACACATTTAAATATAGCTGGTACTTAAAAAATGCAGAAAAACTGTAAAGAAAGGTTCACAATATTAAAAAAAGTTTGCTATGCTTGTATACAGCTGGCTGCAATGTGAGATTGTATATTTTAAAAATATGCCCAAATTTAAGAAGAAAACAGAAAATATATGAAACTTTAGCATCAGTTTCTTTAGTATCATAGCTGGATAATTTATTAGAAATCTCGTATGTTTTAAAATGCACTGTGTGCAGTTATATTTTATGCATAATCCATAAAATATTATTTTTAATTTATAAGTTTAAATTCATATTTCTTTTTATAGAAGAAGTTAAGCTTTTTCCACTTTATATATATATATATATATATAATAGTTTAATTGCATATTAATTTGATTACAGTACCATTATCTTTATAAAAGTTTTTTCTTCTTTAAGCTATGCAGGACCAGCCCATACGTTATTGTATTTTTAACTAATAGCAGACCGCTATTTAATTTAATTTATTTTGATTTTAATTTTGCATTGCTCGGAGTTGCATTTACCTTTTTTAACACCTTAATGTGTTTTTCTGCGGATGCGTCGGGAAAAAGGAACAGAGAATTGAAGCTCCAAAAAAGATTTATTCGGGACAATTCATGTTTTTTATAAAAAATTTTACTCATCAAACAAGAGCTTTAATGGTCTGTTTCGGCGAAACGCGTAATGGTATTTGGTCTAGTTCGACACTCAATCATTTTTCCCTTGAAAAACCTGGTTGAGGGTACGAGTGGGTTAATTTACCATTTTCCGCTTTGTAATTATTGTATTTTTGTAATTTTGCAATTTATGTTTTCATTATAATTTTTGCATTTTATGTTTTAATATTTTTTTCTGTCTGTCTGTTTTTATGTGTATTAACTTTTCACATATCACAACGGTCAGATTAGTTTTTTCGAGCATTCGCATGTCTTCCAGTTTTTTTCGCATGTAAGAAGTTTCTTTCCAGTTTATTCCAGATTAATATTTTTTTAAAATTTTTTCTGTGTTAATATTTTAGTTATACAGCGTTGAACTATTTCGTGGAGCTACAGCTCCTGCTAACTTTTTAGCAATATCGCTGCAATGTTTCTACCTACTATTATTTCATATATTTTTGCAGCATTATGCACAAAAAATTTTTAAGACCAAATAGGTCTTACGTCTCATTACTTGTTAGCTTTACAATTTCTATTTTAATTATATATATATATATGCATAAGGTAAGGAAAACGAAAATATTTAATTAATTACTTCCTGCACTTCAGCTAGAGCAGACTGAATTTTGATAAATTAAAAAAATGTTTTATTAAAAATGTTTAGGGCAGTTATACTGTCCCATAATTGTTAATTGGTAGTGAAAGTTTAGAGCTGGAAACATCTGAAAGTCTCAACACATTACATTCACATAAAACTGAAATGAATATATGGAAGTAAACAAATGTATACACAGGAAGTAAGCTTTAAATTCGTATTATATTATAACTTTCAAAATAACTTCTTGCTAGGAAAATTTAAATAAATAACAGCATTAATAAAACATTATATTTAATGCACATAATAATAGAAATAAATTATAAAACACAAATATAGATCAAATTGGAACACGGGCTAAGAATGTTATAGAAATACAACAACCCTACAAAATAGGGTGGAAAAAGAGTATGGGAGTCGAACTCACGACCCCAAAAAGCAAATTTTGCTGCTGTCAGCTTTACCACTAAGCTATCATCACACGAATGCAATTAGTAATTTTGGCCCCTATACTTCATCAAGTAAATGAATTCTTAAAATTAAAAATTTTTTGGTCTTATTTCGGAGAGCTATCATCTAAAAAATTCGCCAGAGATCGTTCTTCAACTTCTAGGGCATTTCTTACAGAAACATAATTTTAAAGTGGCATTTCGATTGAAGTTAGACGGACTGCTAAAAATGTATTCCAAGTGAAAGATGTGCTTACAAATATATGCAAGTCAAAAAGGTATATTCATGAGTAGAGAAATACAAATTTATAAATAACATTATTAGTTTTTACCTGTTTCAATAGAGAAAAACAAATCTTTTAATGCCTTATCTGATTTGCTTTAGCAGTTTTATATAGTCAGACATTCATTTTCATTAAGAGTAAATAGGTATGCAGAACTATGAAATAATTGTCGACAAATTTTGCTGTTTCATGGACTTAAAATTATATTTTTTGTACTTGATTTTCTTGACAATAATTACTGCTGTCTTCGAACTAGTACTGTAGCTATCTTATTTTCTTTCTTTTTTAACTAAATTCAGTTGATTGCTGTCTTTTTAAGCACGCAGATTTCTTGCTATAATATTAATTCAGAAATAAGTATTTTTTAGCAAAACATTCTTCCCCTGATCCAGCGTTCATCACTACTTCTGCCGCCATTATTTTTGGGTGACAACACTTGATTGCCCCTTTTTTACCTTGTGACCCCCAACCCTTCCACAGACATACGGATAGAAGTTGAACGTTGTTGAACTTCATTTGTCAGTCGTCCGTCACCGCACACCAACTGGATTGCAGATGTCAATCAAAGTGAATTCGCTTGCTGATTGGAGAAACACATATGGAACGCATTAATAATGCAGTAATGGAAATGGGCCTTAACTGTGCAAATCAGTGCCAGAAGACTCGGGTTAATAAGCTTAACAATAAGTACATGCTGATTTCTTTCTCCTGATTCACTGTAAAGCATCAGTATCTTTAGTTATATATATAGAAAAAAGAAATCAGATTATTAAATTTCTGATCAGTAAGTACTGATGAAAAAATTTAAATTAACAAGCTTTTGATAGGTAGAATATCAAAAAGTTTGTTTTTAAGGCGTAACTTAACTGATATTATTATTATTATTATTATTATTTAAAACTCATAAAGCAAGACAAAATATTTCTAATGTGCCAATTTTATTTTATTTTATTTACTTCTTAATGAAGTGCAGGAAAAATCACATAGTTATTTTATATGCAGTCATGCTTTTTTCCCCCTTTCTTTCATGCATATTATGTTCGCTCATGCATTTATTGTATCACTTTTAAGGGGGAGCCACTGTTGCACCATCTCAGCAAAGCCAAGAAACTGTTAATTTGCCTTCTCAGTCTGATGTACCTGAAGATGCAGTACCTGTTGTCGCTGCAGTACAAGAGGTTCCATCTGTATGTGTTAGTAATATGCTGAGTTTTGTGAAATTCTAATTCCATTTAAATAGTTAAAGAAAATTTAAGTCTTTTTCATTAAAAATATGACATTTTGATTTTATGAAGATAAATAATATTTCTATCTTGTGTATTCAAACATAGTATTTGTTCCTTACTCCTGTTGAAAAAAGTTAAAAATACTCCAAACACTTAGTGGGCTGAATTTTACATCATTTATTTATAATAATTAATAAGGCTTAAAAAAAAAATATAGTGTTCTGAGGTTGAAATTGAGGCCTAATTCAGAAAAATTCTGAGCAGCAAATTAATTTTGTTAGGTTACAAATGTTAACTTCTTTTAGAGGATTTGCAACAAATTTTTATTAGGTTAGTAAGCATTTTGGTGTAGATTTATATTTTCTATTTTACCATAAAAAGATTAAATTTTAATTTAGATCTTTGTATCTTTTCAATTATATATATATATATATATATATATAAAAGAAGAAAAGAAAATTCTATTGGTTTACTTCAAAAAAACATTTGCAGTGCAATAGATTGAGTAACTCATGTATTAATTTTATTTGAATTTCACAGTTTCAAGATGAATTTAATTTGTATTTCAATTATTTTATTCTCACTACTGTCCTCAACTACTCTAGTGTTTCACAGATTGTGAAATAAATTTGAAGACTCTTGTTTTAGTATATGATTCAAATATTAATGCTGCCAGCATTTTAAAGAAAGAAAAAAGAAATTTATTATTCTTTACAGATTAATTGTATTTAATATTTTTTTTAAAAAAATTAGTTTGCATTTAATTTGTAAAGGGAATTAAACATTATTATGACTATGATTTATTGTAATAGATGAAAGTGGTTTTAAACAGTATATACTAAAAGTATTTCAATTATTTTTAAGTATATTGAACATTTGTAAATATTAAAAATTTTTATAGAGTGATCCAGCGATGCCTGCGAGTGTAGAAGCTGTTGGTGATTTGAATACAGATCCTACACTCCATCCTCGTGAAGGCAGCAATGCATCAGATAATGATGTTTCTGCCAATTACAATACTGAGCATGCTTACTCAACTGCTTCAAAAACTGCCACGGGTAAATATTTTAAATATGTTGTGTAGGTACTTAAATGCTAATATTTGTCTTATTTTTTCTTTGTATGTTTTTTAGTATGGCTTGAATTGCAAAGCAATTGAAATTTTTATATATCATTATAATTTTGTAATTTTTTAAAGCTCTTAATGTAAAGCCTGTTATTTTAGTTGTGCATTAATTGAGTGCTTACCGTATTTCAGTGTAAAATGAATAATTAACTACTACAAATTTTTTGCATAGATTAAAAGTGAAATGAGACAAAAATTTAATTTATGCTTTAATCTAATTAAAATGAGTTTTAAGACAATGCAATTTATTAATAATTTTTCTAATTTTTAAAAGTGTTTCTAAGTTTTTATTTTCAAAATCACAGGTCTTTGAAGTATTTGAGTGCCAGAACTGTGTAAATTTAATTAAAATGTTTTTTCCAAACATAAAGGTGCAGAAATGAAAATAAGTAAAGCATTTTAAAAATGTTCAAAGCTAATGAATAGTGCTAGTAATGTTGCATGCTATGAAACATTCAATGTATTGAAAACATTCTGTTTTTAAGTAAATTATAAAGCTTAACCTCCAAATCCTGCAATAATTAAATATAAAAGTGATATATGTGGCAAATGTGATTAAAAGTTTTCAACAATAATGTTAGTTTCAAACAATATAACGCTGTATTATATTCCAGAGAAATGGAATTGATATTGCTTTTAAAATGGATTCAGGTATCCAAAAACATGTGTTTATGAGGTTTTGTGCAGGACTTATGTGCCAAACTTACATTTGCTTTAAAATATTTAATCGATAAAATAAAATATCTATACAAAAGGAATTATCAATTAAACCTGGAAGCTTGACAAGCTGTATTTCATAGGATGGCATGGTGGGATTCAATTTACAGTTTTTATTGAAAAATATACCTTTTGAGTAACTTTCAGATTCTCATTCATACAAAAATAGTATTTAGTATCAAAATTGCAGAATTACTTTAGATTGTTGAATGCATCCATGTAACTTAGCTTCAGGGCCTCTTTGTGTTTTACCTGTGATATGAAAAATGATGGAATTCAATTTTTATGTAGTTTGCTTGCATTTGAATGCCATTTGATATGAAATCCATTACTTAGTTTTACAGAGTCTGCCAATAATGACTGAGGAATTGAAAGCTATGATACCTTAACAGTTTATCCAGGGTTTGTATGGTCCTTAAAAGTCTTTAATTTTGGCCAAAATCAGCAGAAGGTCCTTAATTTTAAATCATCTGAAATTTCTGTCTGTTTTTACGACTGCCATTTTGAGTGTGAATTAGCATTTTGAAGGAATATTTTTGGCGATTCAGTAACGCCAAATATTCCTTCAGATATGGTTATCTTTTGAATGGGTTCACGAGTTATAATTTGTTTCTATTTGTAATATAAATAATAGGATTGCAGCAGAAAGTTTAGGATTTGAAGGCAAGATTTATAGACCCATGATTCTAGAAGATTCGAGAACTATGTGACAAAATGAAAAATGTCTCCATGGTATCAACACGTAATGGATGTATTTTACAGAAAGTTTACAGTGAATTTCTTACTTTTTGAAGAACGTCTGGAAGAACAATGGAAACATAATATTTTAAGGTTTTACTTCTGATACTAGAATCTTAACATGTTTATTTTTCCTTTTTTTTCTCTACTTTTCACTAGACACAAGCATGGAAAATATCAAAAATGCTTCTAATCTTATCACATGGGCAGGCATTATAGAAAGAGATTTTTTTATTAATAAAGAAATTAAAAATGTCTTCTTTTTAAGAGACTATTTAAAAGATTCATCTAATATGTCTTAATGCATCAATACACATAGCTGGCACTAGGCATTTTCCCCACCTGATGCAATCTCTGTGGATCCTAAATTCTGCTGCCTAGTGCCTTTCTAAATTCTCCTTCCAATGCCTACTCTAAATTCTAAAAGTTTTGTCATTTCTAGATTTTGTTGTTCAGTGTGTCGCTAAATTCTAAAAATTCTGTCACATCAGCTCTGTAAAGCCGGCCTTTATCCGGTTAGAAAGATGAAATATGAAATATATATATAATGAAATATGAAGTTTCATATTACTAAAGAAATAAAATTAGACACTTTTTCTGTACATTCTAAATGCATTTAGTGTTTTTTAGAATCACAGAAATCCTTAATTAAATCCAAAAATTTTAAAATGAAAAGGAAACGTGTTGAAGAAAGTAACTGAATACATAAAGAAAATTATTCTTCAAAGATATGTGCAATTATTATTATGTAAATTACCCAATTGTTTATGATTTCAGCCTTTACTATAATTTCCCATTTCTATTTCCCCATATGATAGAGTTCCTGAACCAGATTAAATTTAAATTAAATTGTATAATCTTTGACGTAGTAGTCCACATTATTAGTTTGAATTTGACGCTTCTTTTTTAATTACATCACCGTGAGATGTAATTGATTTTGCTAGCATCAGAACATGGCTTTATGTTCTAAGTTCTTTTTAAATAAGAGGCTTATTTAAACCTTTGTCTGATATTGTACTTACTTTCAGAGGTTGCGATAATATGCTTCATGTCTGTCAAGGGTTTTGGACTATTTAACTTTTACCAGATGAAATACAGTGGTGGCCAAAATTGTGGACACTTTTGGAAATTTTTATGTTTTTGAACTTTGTATGCTTATAGAAAATGTTACGTTTCGCAAAATGCAAACTTGTATATATAATTTTAAAGAGAATTTATTACTGAATTCAATACAAAACACAAAATTCAATTATTTGCAGTACAACAAAAGTTATATGTACTTTAATATAAATAAAAAACACAGTTATGAAGTGGTTGTAATTTCTAGCTTCCTGGCCAATCATGTTTCTTGTTCTGAAAACCAAT